ATGCGTTGTGTGCTGTGAGATGTTGTATGCGTTGTGTGCTGTGAGATGTTGTATGCGTTGTGTGCTGTGAGATGTTGTATGCGTTGTGTGCTGTGAGATGTTGTATGCGTTGTGTGTGTGTGCTGTGAGACGTTGTGTGTGCTGTGAGACGTTGTGTGTGCTGTGAGACGTTGTGTGTGCTGTGAGACGTTGTGTGTGCTGTGAGACGTTGTGTGCGTTGTGTGCTGTGAGATGTTGCTCTGTGCTGTATTAGGTGTTGTCATGTTTTTCTGTGCTAATCTGCCTGGTTTCCTTTTGTATGTTTAGTTTCACCAATGAACCCCAGTTTTCTCTTGAAGTTGCAAGTGAATTGTCACCTTTTTCCTGCCTGCACTTTGCCCTGCTGCTGTAACAACACATAGCTTGTACACATATACTGTACACATGTTGTATAGACACCCAGTAGCATCCGTACTTACGAACCAAGACAAGTCTCAATATTTTTCACTTCAGAGGGACACACATCAGGCCCTCTGTCACCTTTACTGTTTGCACTTGAAATCGAACTTCTAGCTGTGGCCATTAGAAAGCATGAACTCATATGAGGTATAAAAATAGGATCGCAGATCCATAAGATATCATTATATGCAGATGATGTGATATTATATTTGTCTGATGCTGAATCATCTCTCCCACCATTATTGGATTTGATTAGTTATTTTGGGAAACTCTCTGGTTACACCATAAATAGCTGCTTCAAGCCCATAACTGATAATTTTGATACCCATTTTTTTAATAATCTCCTCTTAAAAATTACTCAAGACTTTTTTCAATGTCTCGACATAAATGATCCAAAATATCCCAGACTGCTTTACCAATTGAATTTCTTACCCATGATTGATTCTCTGAAAAAGAATATTGATTGCTGGCGGCTGCTACCATTGTCCATGATTGGGCGCATCAATGCTATTAGAATGGTGACTCTTCCTAGATTTCTATATCTTTTTCAGAACTTACCACTTTTCTGACCCAAATCCTTTTTTAACACCCTTGATTCTTTTATTACGCCTTTTATCTGTGGTTACAAGAATGCTAGAATATCCAAATTACACTTGGTCAAGCCTAAACATTTGGGCGGTTTAGGCCTCCCCCAATTTCAGCATTACTATTGGGCCACGGATGCTAGGGCCTTCGTGTACTTGCAGGCCAGGCCTGGAGACCAGGGCTCCCAGTCTGCTTTAGCATGGCTAGATATAGAAGAGCTGCCGTGCCACAAGTCTTCCCTCCCAGCTTAATGTGCTGCCACCACAATAGCAAAATCAACTTTTACAGTAAAAAATTCTCTTAAAATCTGGAACCAGATTAAATAAGCATGTAAAATACATAACAAAGCAGCTTATTCGCCAATCCATCAAATCATAACTTTGCACCGGGTCAGACTGATGGTGCTTTTCTTTTTTGGAGAGAGAAGGGGCTTGTTACGCTGAAAGATCTCTATATCAATAAAACATTTCCTTCATTTGACAACCTGAAAGATGAATTTGGCCTTCCCCCTAGTCACTTCTTTAGGTACCTGCAGGTAAGACATTTTGCCATTAAATGTATACCAGAATATACCGAGCCCAATGTCCCTTAATAAAAAGGGCGCCGCGGATGTGACGTTTTTATCCTGTAGGCGAAACCACACTGACCCTGGCGCATTCCTGCTGGGTCCTAACGCCCCACCGTTTCACTGCATGAAGAAAATCCAGGAAACAAGCTAATAACAGAAATGTAGAAATGGATAAATTAATAAATGTAGAGCTAATTATGCCATTTTTTGTGACCAAAATGTACAAATGTATTTTTTATTATAAATCGTGGTTTATTTGTACGCTATTTATACTTATGTTAGATAACTACATAAATATAGAGCTAATTGTACCATTTTCATGACATTTTCATATATATATATATATATATATATATATATATATATATACACACACACACACATACATACATTTATTATTTAATAAATGATTATATACTTATGTCCAGGGATGCACATACCTGGTATGCAAGTACACATTTGTACTGTTACAATAATCGATTGCTGTATGTATCGCTTTTAAAGGTGAATGCGTATTTGCATATCAGTTATGTGCATCCCTGCTTATGGCATGTTTAAACTTATATAAAATTCTGTATGAAATACCCCGTTTTTAATGATGCTAATTATCCTAATTGCATGTCTTTGGATTGTGGAAGGAAATCAGAACAGCTTGAGGAATCTCATGCAGCACACGTGAAAACATGCAAACTCCACACACACAGGTGAAAACTTTTAGCTTACAAAAATGTTTTCTTGTAGCATTGATTTTCAAAAATACAGTGCTAACCCTGAGCAGCAGTGCTACTCACCGCGGGGCCATGTGCCCCACAAATTATATTGTGTAGTGATCATGAAAACAAACATGGCTGCCACAACCCAACAGAAACTACATATAGCTTCGAAATATATTAGCCTAGCATCCTGAAATCATTTCTGCTACATATAATATAAATTATGTATAATCAGTATCATTAAAAAACAATATAAAATTGATAATGATGCACTTCTGTGTGTATACTGTACCAATAAGGCAGTTTTCATATTTAAGGTCCTCTGCAGCTGATAAATTAGGGTTTATTAGCAGAACTGGTTCTGCTTCTGAATTTCCCTTTTTATTATTTCTGGAGCTCCCTAACTCAGCATCTTCCTGTTTAACTCAGTCACTCACAGTTCCCAATCCCCTCCCCCACATTGCTCACATCATGCTCAGTCACTGCCTCTTCCCCCTCCCTTTCTGTCTCCCCCTCTCTCCCTCACTCACTGCAGGCAGTACAGGCTCTGCAGGACCAAGCTGGCCGGTACAATGTTGTGCTAGTGTCAACAACAGAAGAGGATGGCAGAAAGATGGAGCGTTCCCAGCTCCACAGCCGGATCAGGACGCAATATGGGCATCTGCCTGCCAGCAATCGCTCTGGTCCCAGTGTGGTCAGCCCAGCAAATGAGCCAGAAAGACTCCATACACAGGTAATCTGCATGCTAACTTATCTAATTTTGCTGCTTCCTCCTCCCGGTCACCCCCACCCCCCATATCAACATAAGTGACACACCCTGTCCATCCCAGTAGTCTTTTAAGGCAGAAAAATGATTTTGTGCAGTTACCCATAATGCATGTTTTATGCATGTTTTACTAGGTTATTCTTTAGAATAGGATTTTATGTGGGACAAAATTACTTTCCTGTGTTTTTTTAAACACTCATTTCTTATTAAATCCAGTGAAGCTGTTCACAATAATGAGTAAAATTATAACTCCTATAAATATAATTGTACTAGATATCCCTGTTGCCACCTCTATAAAGGACACATATGTAGAGCAGATAGGCAACCTGTATTCAGGGACACTGAAAATAGGTCTAGTATAAATTATATGAAAGGACTGGGATCAGTCCTCCAAGCACCTTTTTGTGAAATGCTATTGAAAATGCTATTGCTATGTCACATACAGACGTGGACAAATTTGTTGGTATCCTTCCACAAAAAAGCACAACTATCTCTGAAATAACTTGAAACTGACAAAAGTTTAATGGCATCACTTATTTCCATATTTAACACAAATCAGACTTTGCTTTTTATTACTAATTTACTTGAATATTTGATATAATTAAGCAAATGAAAATGTCACGGTCAAAAAAAAGATGGTGCCCTTAATTTAATGTCTCCACACTGCACTTTTCAGATCTCCCCATAGGTTGTTCAATAGGATTACGATATGGGCTCATGGAGTCCAACGTTTTTCTTCTTTCATTCTTGAGTGCTTTTAGCTGTATGTTTTGGGATGTTATCCTGCGACTGAGGCTGAGCTTTGACACTGGGCAGTGTGTTTCACCTCAGGATCCCTTGGTAGTCTTGAGACTGCACAGATTCAAGGTTCTCTGTGCCAGATGCAGCAAAGCAGCCCCCCAAAAAATCAGTCCCCTCTTCTTTTAAAGCTTTATTTTTCCATCTGTAAACAAAGAGCTGATGTGACAGCTCCAGTTTTGTCTCATCAGTCCAAAGGACATTCTCTCAGACACTTTGGGGTTAGTCAACCAGAATTCCACTCTGGCTTTTTTATGTTTTTCTGTCAGCCCTCCTGGGTCTTCCATGGAGCCCATTATTGTTCAAAATGCGACGGATGGTGAGATCAGAAAGTGACGTATCTTGACCTTGGAGCTCAGCTTGAATGGTTTTGGATGGTTTCCTTGGCTCTTTTCCTACCATCCACACTATCATTCTGTTCAACCTGGGGTTGTATTTCCTCTTGTGTCCACGTCCTGGGAGGTTGGCTACAGTCCCATGAACCTTATACATTTTAATGACTTTGACAACTGTGGTCACAGGAACATGAAGCTGCTTGGAGATGGTCTTATAGCCTTTACCTTTAGCATGGTTATCTATAACCTTCTTTCTGAGCTCCTCAGACAGCTCTCTCCTTTGTTTTCTCTGGTCCATGTTCAGTGTGGTGCATACAATCATACCAAACAACACAGTAGCATGTTCTTTTCCTTTAAATAGGCTGAATGGCTGATGAAATTCTTGAAGGCACCTGTGATACTAAGTAAGGTTAAATACTTAGTTTGAAACATAACTATAATGCAAGGATAAATAGTCTCTTTAGGGACACCATAAATCTGTCCATACTATTGGAGCATGTCTTCGAAAAATAAACAACAAATTATTTCTTTTCACAATTTTATTGGTTTACTCTATCACATACTAAAGGCATGCAGGTATACATTAGACAATTGCTTTTAATTGAATCACTTTTCAGGAGAATTGAAGCATTTTAATGAGCTGTAAGGGTACCAACAAATTTGTCCACGTCTGTATATGCCAGTATGTTTCTGAGTATATTTGCATGATTTCCTTTCAGTGTAACACTGTCCTTTTAAGCAAGGAAAAGCATTTTGTCCATAAGTAATGCCTGCTTGTCAACTGATGAATCTATACACGTTCCTTTGCATTATTTACACTGTTCATATAAAGCTTTAAATCAATGTGTAATGTGTTGATACCAGTGTGTGTCAGATCAGTATCTATTCTTAATGCATTAATTTCGATGTTTAATGTGCATTTGTATCAGTGTCTGTGTGTGTCGGTGCATTTGCATCTCTGCTCCTTTGTGATACATGTGCCCTGATCCCGTCATATCTGGCATAGATGCAGGAAGGAACACCACAAGCCCAGGTGAGACGAGATCAGGAGGCCCTACGAGAGGCTCGGGCTGAGCTCACTCAGGCCAGGAGACAATGGCACAGCCTGCAGGTGGAGATTGAGTCATTGCATGCACTGGTAAGCAAATGGTTATTCCAATGGACATTGGTTATACATTCTGCTGAAAGGGTGTGATCTACTGCAGTACATTGGACAATTACATAAACAGGGACATAAGTGTTTCTCTGTACCATTGATACACATTGTATAATATTGAACTTGAAACCAGAAACATATTGGAAATACAGTAATCAGTTTAATGGACAACACTGATTTACTGACATAGAAAACAGACCCACCTCTTTTCCCCGCTGTTCTTTCAGGAGAAGGGTCTAGAAAGATCTCTGCAAGACACACAAGAGCAGTACAAATCTCAGCTGCAGGACTTGAGTAGAGTGATCCAGGGTCTGGAAGCTGAACTTGACCAAGTGCGGAGCAGTATTGAAAGCCAGCGTCAGCTCCATTACCAGCTCCTCAACACCAGGGTGCGGCTAGAGCATGAGATTACCACCTACAGGCAGCTTCTCGACTGTGAGGAGAAACGGTAAGACTCAGAATCAATTATTACTATCATTCACGGCTGTGGGAGAGTGTTTGCCATTGGGAAGACACAACTTAATAATTTAAATACAAAGATGTATTTTTGTGGGGGGAGGGGCAGCGGTGAATGAAGCCAAATTAAATATTGGGGGTTATACATCCCCCTATCTCTATATGCCTCTGCTATGCCTAAGATAACATGAACAATAGTATATGTTCACATAGGGTAAAAGAGGTACATTTTTAAATACTGAACAATCTCTGTTGTTGTCTAAAGTTGTTGTCTTTATCCTTGTCTTAATATTCGGGACACTGCACTGAAATATGAGGTAAATTATATGAATACACATTTAATCCTGCACTGAACTCTATTCAGTTCCTCTGAGTCCTGGGGAACTTAGTCGATTGACTAAGGAAGGCAAAGTGAATTTTCATTTTATCTATATCTGTGCACTTCATTGTGTTCCCTGGATCGAGGAATACATATGATTTTGGGACCAGTCTGTTTCTTTCTCATGAATGTGATAACTCAAAAAGTATCTCATGGATCTTTTTCCAACTATGCAGACGCATTGTGTGCAAACCGGTCAAATTCTGAGACAAATCTCCAAAATAGAAGCAGTGCTGTATAGTAATTGCAAACAGAAGGATAGTTTTAGATACTTGATCTTGTAACTCTTTTAGCTCAAAAATTATTTTTCTTTTTTGTCTTTTTAAAGACAAGTTTATACAAACAAGTGACATTTTGATTTACAAAGTTACTGTTTATAGTTTGCAGCTATCCATGCGTTGAAGAGATGTATTTTTACCCATATTTCCTCAGTGAAAACTCTCTAACATCATGAAATGAAAGTCTGAAGCTCCTCAGTGTAAACAGAACCCAGAAATGTGCTGTTGTTGATGGGAGTTTTCACATGTTTTCTTGACCCAGTAACATCTGTGGATTATTGTATCGTTATCGAATAGTAATATTTGCAAATGGGTGGGCGATCTGGACTGCTTTGTGACTCAGACACTTGAGTCAGTAACTCTCTTCTTTTAATTTACCTTACAAAGCTTAAAAATATATGTTTAATTTCTACCTAGATATAGTTGAAAAGTAGACTGTTTAAGGTTGCTGGGAGTGTTTTTTTATGTTTACAATACATTTGACTGTTTGTAGAGATTTTTGTTTTATCCTGCAGGCGGGAGTTAATTTGCGTTAAAAACAGCATAGCACAGGTTCCCAGATTAATTACAAGTGTTAACAAGTGTTAACACTGACAGCATGCACTAGTTAACTAAGGACTTTAAATGGGACTGGGTTATATGGTCAGTTGAGAGGAAAATAGAACGTTTTGGCAACAAACATCAAAGGTGGGTTTGGTGCAAACAGAAAGATATGCATACAAAAAAGCAGCTTGTATATAAATGTTGTGGTGTGTGTTATGTCCGCTGGGTACCGAGCAGGGACACAGTAGCAGGAATCGAGTGAAGAAGGGGTTTATTTCGGGATAATACATTCAGGAACAAACAACAACGTCACGATGTTAATGACCGGACTAACTAAAGGCACACAGGACTTAAATACACTAGACTAATTAACACAACTAGAAACAGCTGAAAACACAGGGATTCCACTCAAAGCAAATGAGGGGGCGTGGCACACAGGAGGATTGGAACGATCAGGGGATGACAGTGTGGTGGATCTTTGATTCATTGTGGCTGTTTTTCTTCCAAAGGAACAGGAACAACTTGTTAGGACACATGGTACATAGACTCTGTCAAATACCAGCAGATATTAAATGAGCACCTAACAGGTTTTGCCATGGCTATCACAGTCCCCTGAAGAAACCCCATAGACAATCTGTGGAATGAGTCCACAAGCATCAGTCTCTGAATCTGAAGGATCTGGAGAGATTCTGTTTGGAGTAATGGTCTCAAATGTGTTTCAAATTTAAGCAATGATGTACGAGAAGGAGCGCGGCTGTGATTCGGTCATAGGCACGCAAAAAAAAAATAGTTCCCGTAACATTAGCGAAAGTGGGACGGGCTATCGCTCCAAACCACGTACCCGGAACATTCGGGTAATACAGTTTTGTTTAGTATCTACAGTGCCAGCAGTGAAACAACTAGCCAGCTTATCAGTGGAATAGCTTTGCATTGTAAATTTAAACCATGCCACAGGTCTAATGAATAAAATATTGTGACTTTTAAGTAGCGAAGAGATCATGAGGCGGAGAGCAAGGTTAAGTTTTTAGCAGTCTCTTGTGCTATCTTTAAAAGGACTGTCGTGTTTTACCTTAATAAAGGACAGATTCATATGTTGCCTCCAGGATTTATTTCCAGTTTATTCTCCACCATACAGCAACAACCCCAAACTCTCACCTGGCCCGTAGTGTCCTGACTGACTGTGAGTAATACCGCAGGTTACATGACATCTCCCCTTTCTAGGCCTCTTATTCCCCATCTTACCATAACAGTAATCCACGGCATTCTTGGCAAAATTATTACACTGTAATGAAACAGCTTAAATTTTTACTACGTACATAGTTAATGAATTTTATTACATTGTGTTACAATAGAAACCGAATATGCTTTCCACTCTTTACTCTTAATACTGAACCATTCTATCCAAAATATAACTCCAAACTTGTTTATTCATTTAACTTAGTTAAGGTCTGTTACTAAGCTTACATTTCTTACAGATCTAATCTTATTGGTTTAATCACATTATGGCTTGATCTTGTCCTATGACTACCAGGGGAAGTAGCATTCTGTATCACTGTAGCAGACTGAACTTTCTGGTAAGCTATCGGATGAACTGACTTGTTTGGTTCCTTTCTCAGACTCACAAAGTAGAATTAGGTGGCACCTAATGCGGCAAGGTGGCCCTCCTACTACATAAGACAGTGGAGTGGAATGAGCAGATAGTACAGTCCCTTGTGTTTTCTGGTCTGTAATCCAAACATCCTGCCCAGGTGTAAGATGGCTGAGGTTCCTTGCTTGATGCCTCTTGTTGAAGGTTGATGTCTCCTTGACCTTCCTCACCCTTTTCTTGTGGGCTACTGTGGCCGGATCAGGGAGTGCTGCAGTACAAAGAGAAGGGTGCAATGGCATCCGTGTACAGTCTCCTCCCCATCAAAAACTGGGCATGGGCTCCACCAGACTGACTCCTTCTCTAGTAAACAATGTGCACCTAAGTGCTAGTTTTTTCAGCTGGAAGCTCAGCCCAGGCCACCACACGGACTCTCTGGCCCGCTCCTTGCATCTAACAATGCCTTGGTGTCCTTCAGACAGCGTCTGTAGGACTGATGCATGCAAAGCTGTGGGAATTTATTAGCCTTGTGCCTTGCAAAAGTAGCCCTTCATGTACACTGAGAGATGCTCTCTCTGGCCAGTAGGAGGCAACTTCCCCAGTCAACTGGCTTTTGTCTGTGTTTGTAGGTTTTCAGACTAACCTTTAGGTCAGCTGTTCAAACCCGGTTGTGAGGACTTTTCAGCCAATCAGTCCTCTAATTAGTAATCTAATTGGAGAGTTCCAGCGAAAACCCACATACACACCGGCCCTTTGTGGATGAGATTACCCACCCCTGCTCCAGACTGTACTTCATAATTGCTGAACAGACATTATCAGATCTTAGCTGTTATTTAAGTTTAGCCAGAGATGTAGCAGGTACTCAGAGCTCACACAAGGGTCTGGTCTTCTGTTGGTCTGGCCTAACCCCACTGGCTGCCCTAGGAATTTAGCTTCCTTTTTCTCGAGTCATGTTCAGTCTGCTTGGGCTATAAATTGATGTTTTATGCTGGCAAACCTACTGAGCAGGGCAGTGTGAAGATCTCTGACCATATACAGATCTTCTTGAATGGTGGTCTCCCCATTACTTAAGGATTCAGGATACATCCCTAGTACTTGCAGCTGCGTGCCACCTGCCTTCACAAGACTGTACTCGCCTTCCGTTATGACCTTAAATATGCCTTCAGGTATCGTAGTGACATATGCACTGGTGTCTATTTTAAAGGTCAGTTTATGTTCTCTTATGGACAATTCTGTGAACCAGGGGTTTTCTCCATTTTCTGCCATGGCAAGAAAAAATGGTGGAACATCACTGTCATCGAGGCTGACTGTGTGTACTGTCTTAGTTCCTTTGCACTTTTTTAACTGAAATTACCTTTTTTCTCACATGTGTAACAGACCGCATCTGTTATATTTTGTGAACAGCAGACCCAAAATTAAAATAAAAAACATGCATAATTAAGTGCCAATTCCCAGCCGCTGTGCTTGTTCATCAGTGAGCTTCTGCTTTCCCCATCTTCTGACATCGTGATACGGCTTTTAGCACTGTGGTCTAATGATGCCAGAAAACAAGGACACACTTACTGCTCCCTCATCCGATGCCTGCTTTACCTCGAAAGGCTTAGGTGGAGCAGTGCTGCTCCCGAAGATGATGTGCTTGTGCATTTTGTTCCACTTTGCACACAAGCACGTCCAATTCCTTGGCCGAAAAGCAACCTGGCTTGCCGGACAAACGCGTCATTGTACTTGCAATTCACAGCAGATCGTGCAGCACTACCTTTTAAAGGTGAGGTGACACATCATTCCGATTGGTTTATTTCTTGTTACACACAAAACATGCCTCTGAATAATTAAGAGTTTGGACAACCTTTTTCCACCTTGCGCTGGTGCAAATTCATTTTTTTCCCGCTGTCAAAATAGCAAAATGGATTTGGACACACCCGTAAATGTTAGTTGCTCTTTGCATTAGTGTTACGAGCCTCAGTCTAGGGTTGGGCTGTAACAGAATGAAAGGGAAAGGGGACGTGGAGTAAGGGAAGGACAGGGTGTGATGGACAAGGGAACACAAGCGGACGAAGAGGTATTTTTCAATATTTTTCTGTTTTTATTGACACGCCACGGACACAGAACAAATAAACCCGGTGCAAAAGGACTCCTATGACGAACTTAATGAGCACCTGCCGAGATCTCTGGCTGGCATTCCTGCAGAGACTTTACAAAGTTCAGCACATTCTTCATCTGAGGAGGTGGTCTCGAGGACAACCACTGCTCCTGCAGCCGGACTGAAACCAGTAGACTCTTGCACAGTGTCCCAAATAGCGAACAAAAGCCTCCACAGTCATGCCAGCTCCTTGAACAGAGATGAACTCTTCCTGCGTACACATACTGTCAATCTCTGTCTCTAAGTGGGGTGAAGATTTTTTCCCACCACAGGTTCAATGCTAGGGCACGGGGGCAAAACAGGGAACACGGGACAGCAGGGTGGAGACACTTCTCAGATCGTCAGAACAGTCGTCTAGTTCTGATGTAACCTCGGGTAGTGAAGCTACCTTCCCTCCCATAATATCATTTCCCAAAATGAAAGTGACTCCTGAGACTTGAAGTCACAGTCGAACAGTCAGTTTAACCAACCCTGAGAAATCCTCCGCTTTAAGATAAACCTGGTGAAAAGACACTCTAACAGTACGTTCAATACCTTACACGAGAACATCACTACCACAATAGGTTGATTCAGAAAAAGGCAACACAGTATCGAGCATAAATGATTGAGCAGCACCAGTGTCATGCAAAAATGTTACGGGGCTCTTTACATCAGAATCATTAAATGAAACAAAACCAGAAAACACAAACGGTTGGAAGGCGGATGGCTTGGCGGCGAAGCATCATCAATACACGCGGCAACATACGATTCAACCCAATCTTATTTATATAGCGCTTTTAACAACAGTCATTGTCCCAAAGCACTTTACATATAACCGACCCAAACCCCCACCAAGCAAGCCTGAGGCGACAGTGGCAAGGAAAAACTCCCTCTAGCAGGAAGAAACCTTGAGAGGAACTTAGACTCAGAAGGGGACCCCATCCTCCTCTGGGCGACCGGGGTGCATGAAAATGTATTCACATTAACATTAGTTCAAAAGTTCAAGTCCATATAATTTAAAAGTCCTAGTTGGTTCCAGATAATGGTCTCCAAGGAGCCCAGATGAGGGTTCAAGCGGTGAATTGTCAGCTGGGTGTTCAGCTCGGAAAAGAGAAGATGGAGAAGAGAGTTGGTGCCCTACACCCAACCTCCGGCAGTACTGAAGTAACTATGGCAGCCTGGCTAAAAGGGAGACTTGGAAGGAAGCACAGACATGAGGGTTTGCAGGGGTTTTGGCGTCAAGCCAAACTACCGTCAACAACTTAAGTGATCAGCGAGAGTGACAGGGTGACAGCACCAATCCCCCCTTTCATCTTTAATCTCAAATGACCATGAACGCCCAGATCTCACATTCACCTTAAGAAAAAGGGATTTTAGTATCCAAAAGACTGACTAAAGAGGTAAGGCTTAAGGCTTGACTTAAAAGCAGAGATTGTTTCTGAGTAATAGGAAATTTATTCCATAACTGTGGTGCTTTATGAGCAAATGCTCTTCCCCCAAAAGTAACGTTCTTTATTCTGGGTATGAATAGAAGACCTGCATCTTGCAATCGAAGCGTACGAGTCGGAATGTAGTTGCCAATGAGGTTACTCACATACTGCAGTGCTGGACCATTTAGAGATTTGTAAGTTAATAGTAGTATTTTTTAGTCAACATGAAATTTAACTGACAGCCTGTGGAGTGAAGATAAAATTGGGGTAATATCATATTTTTTAGTTTTGGGGAGGACTCTGGCTGCTGCATTTTGAACTAGTTGGAGTTTATTTAATGACCTACTTGGACAGCCGGAGAATAAGACATTACAGTAATCGAGCCTGGAGGTAATAAACGCAAGAACCAATTTCTCTGCGTCTTGATAGGATAGCATGTTTCTTAATTTGGCAATATGACGCAGGTGAAAGAAGGCAGTACGGCTAATGTTAGAAGCATGTACATCAAACGAAAGACCGGAATCTAGACTAACACCAAAGTTTTTAACAATAGTACTTGGTGCAATAGATAGTCCATCCAGATTGACTGTGATGTCAGATAGTTGACTTCTGGTGGCTTTAGTGCCATTAAGAAGAACCTCACTCTTGTCTAGATTTAACTGGAGGAAGTTGTCTGACATCCTGTTACGTGAAAGCACGCGTTAGTGTTTTGTGTGTGTGTGTGTGTGTGTGTGCGTGTGTGTGCCTCTGTTCTTTTGCTAGGTCATTGGATCCAGCTGGGGGGGCTTGGGACTTTGCTCCACCTCTTCCTTGTTAAGTGGGAGGGGCTTGGCCTACAAAAGCTGCTGCTGCTTCTGAGACTCCTGCTGTGCTGTTTTGTGCCTTATAATAAGAGTGTGATGCTACTGTTGTGAAATGCTGTTCTTGAGAGTTGTTGAGGTATGGAGTGGAGACAACCACGGTTAGCATGTGCGCGCATATACATTGTTGTGTAGCTGACCAAATTGTTAAACACACTAGCCAAGGAAGTAGCGGAACGAGTAGCACCAAGGGGCGAGCTTACCTTGCGTGGCTGAGGAATGGGCTATAGCTGTAGCTGGCCCACCCGTGCCTTTTGCAGGGCCGCCTCCCTATCCGCTTCCATCTCCAAAGCCTTTACCCAAAGGAGTTGGGCTTGGTAATCCTGCCTCTTAATCTCCAATTCAAGTTCCCGAAGCCGAATTGTAAGGAGGATGTCCTCCTTGGGTGAGCCGGGATCACTGGGATCACTGGGATCACTGGGATCCATGCGTAACCGGGACTCCAGGCCTCCAGCTTCTGCCGTCGTAGGTGGCCGGGCTGGACAAGGTGCAACACCCGAGAGACCTCCAGGCTCCAGCAGGATTCCCTGCATGACCAATCCGTCCCACAGGACCTGCTTAATCTCCCGTTTTTAGGCGTAGACAGGGATCACCACGTTAAAGAAGCCCGCGATGGCTACCAGGTCAGCCTTTCTGCAACAATCAAACTGTTCCTGTGTGGGGCACAGGGTAAACTCAAGGAAGTCGAACTGAGTCATGCTAATCTGAATTACCAGGAATTTCCCCAGGAAAATGAATCCGCCAAACAAAGCTGAAAAAGACAGAAAGCCTGGGTGACACAGACAAAACAGAGGTATGATACCACCAAGGTTGAGTCCATAGTGGGTGACCCATGCCCTCTATTTCATGGGATATACTTCCAGACCCCCAATTCATGCATGTATGTCAAGCCTATGACAAACCACACTCACAGTCTTCACAGTAAAAGGTTCACAGAAACATAGAAACAATAGGATTAAGATGGAATAAGCTTTAGACTTTCACTTTTGTATAGCTTTTCAAAATAGGGAAAAACTTGCTATAAAGTGCTGATATTCCTGAAGGATCAGAACTGCATTTTTTATTTTTTTTCTTGTATTCAAATTAAAAAGAATAAGGAGTTTCTGTCTGTGCATCTGTTGTGTCTATGTGTCTCTATGTATTTTATGTACAGTTTTTGTAGTAGATGAAACAGTTTAAAGAAGTGATATGAATAAACTAAATTAAATTTTCACAAAGCAATGTTGTAACTTTGATAGTTCAATCACATTAACCTCCTAAGCATGTCGTATTGTATTTGTATGGGATTTCTTCATTTATTCATTTTCTTATTAATGTTCCCTCTGAAAGGATTCATGGATGCAATGACCAAGCCAAGAATTTAAACCCAGAGCCTGGACGCAAGGAGGAACACACCTCAAAGAACAATGTGAGAAGAACTCCTGGAGTGCTACAGAAACAGAAAAGTCTAATCATCTTTACAGGTACGGATGTAAAGACATTATGCATCCACCTATTTTCCATTAAATGCCTATTTAAAGCAGGATTGCAGCTAGCCAGGAGTCTTATGCATAGATATACAAACATCAAAAAGAAAATACATATGATTCCAGGCACTACTCAGATGCTCAAGATGTTGTTACTGGTGTTTAGTATAGTGAAATGATATGTCTGTAATATGTCTGTATGAGAATGCCACTTTCTCTACATACAACCAGAGAACACTGAAAGGAAAATGGCTACGGTGAAGACACAAGAAATCTTGCATGGCAATGTTGTACGGGAGAGTGCTGAGGCACATGGCACTGTGGAGTGAGTACAAGAAACAAATGTGATACGTGTTTGCTTACTCAACACCAGTTAGGCTTGTTTGTATCATAAGAGTATTTCCTAGAATCCCAGATTTTAAAAATATATTTACCTTGCCAAATGCAGTATAATATATGGCATATACAGTACTGTGCAAAAGTCTTAGGCAGTCAAAAGAAACATTTACAGCAATTTATCTGGGTAGTAAGTGCACTTTTGCTCAGAACAAAAACATTATTTAGCAATAGAACAACTGCAGCATATGCCATGTTCGGCCATCTAGGTGTGTGCATTAACCAGCGTGAATGCGTTCAGCGGCTATTGAGAGGAGGGGAGGGGCTGTGCGAGTGTGTGCATTTGTGTGCGTGCACGCGCGCCTGCGCTGTAGTGGTGTTGTGTGAAGTGTGGCGAATGAAGCGAAAACCACACTGTTGGTATCAATAATGGTTAAAATGAGCATCTAATCAGATACTAATTTTTAATATTGATTAGTATCTGAGAATCAATTTTTTGACAACCCCAGTGTCTCATCATTTTCAACTCCAGCATCAGCTATATCTTCCGTTTCTAATCTTTCGAGGTACATTTTTAGCGGTGCAGCAGTGAAAAAGGTCCCCCCCCCTTAAACAGTTTCCAGCTGTGCCACTTTCCGAACGTTGTGTAGGCTATTTAAACTGGTATAGATGGTTTTCGTATGACGTCACAACAGTCTGTGCATACAGCGTGTCGGCCATCTTGGAGTAATCGAAGAGATTCGTGATACGGTAGTACTAGGGTGACCAGATAATCCATGTCAGGGAGGACACTTTGAGCTACTTCGGGTTTTACAAACTGATTTCAAACCGAAAGGCTCCTGTGTTTGGCTAAATAGTTCAGCTCTTCTTGTGCTTTGACTGGTTTGTTTCCTTGACAGAAAGACTCATCCAGCTGTTTCACATTAGCATTAGTGACACGTGCATGATTATAGGAGACTGACCAATCAGCACACAGCAAGATCTCAGTGCTCAAGATCCTTTTAATTGAAATGGTAATTTACAATTCCTGTTCTAGCTCAGAGTGTCCTCCCTGACATGAATTATCTGGTCACCCTAGGTAGTACAGCGTGCAGTTTAGCAGCTTTGGAAATTTCGGGTCTGAAACATGGGGCACAAAAGCGTCATTGAACTCTGCCTTAACAGTTAATATGGCAGATTCTGCTCCAGCTGCACTAATGTCTCTCAAAAAGGAATCAAATTCATCATCTATGGGTGGCAACACGGGCTTTGGCTGTGCTAGTTTCTTCTTAGGCAAAGGCGTGCCAGCAAGTTGACAATCCATGTTACGCTTCAAAGATTTTGTAGAAGCAAAGTCAATGTCTTACTGAATATTATTCCCTTCTTGGTAGCAGGCAGCCAATAAGCTTCTTCATCTCTTACTGTTCGGGAGTCACGCACTTTCACTGTAGCTTCTATAAAGAATAACACAGAAGCAATGTGTGAACAGCATTCTCCCAAGCCTGCCATGCAGTGGCAGGGGGCCGATAAAATCTTACCATCTTTCTGAATTATAATCCAGGGAGCTAGCGGTGGCTCATTAAGCTTCTGCGAATGGAGCACCCTCCCTGTGTGTACGCAAAGGTCATTTACAATGCATACGCCTACATCATGAACCCATCCGGATACAAACTGGTTGTACGCATCAAGGCTTTTTAAAGATTTTAGTTCCTCCATCGAGTAGGGGCTGTTGGAGTACACCAAATAATTAACGATGTCATAATACGACACATCCGCCCACTTCGACACGTCGTCAGTCCAGGCTGATTTTTTGATCGTATAAGGATCAATTTCGCTTATCATTTTAAGTTTATCTTCATATCTTTGACGACTAACTTTGTCTAATTTACTCCTGTAATCTAACAAAGATTTTGAAGACATTTCTAAATGAATGCGAAAAAAATTGTAGACACAAAATACACACAGTTCCTAAGAAAAATTCACATCATAACAATAATTAAAAAACGGTTTTCGGTATGAACCGGTATACCGCCCAGCACTAATCCATGGATAAAGTTGCACAAAGGTTAATGTGGCTAAAACAGCCCTGTTATAATGAAGGAGAAAAATGTGGTAAATTATTGGCTTGGCGAATTAGAAAAAGACATTCAGGGCATTCAACAGCATCAAGACATCTGCAGGTGATGTGACCTCAGAGCCAACAGTGATCAATAGCACATTTAGGGATTTCTATGAGTCCTTGTATGCATCTGTGTGTTCAAATGATTTGGAGAGTCAAAATTCTTTTTTAGATCAGTTGAAGTTCCAGACTTTGTCAGAAAAGGAACAACAGGAATTGGATTGCGGTTTAAAAATGGCGGAATTAGCAGAGGCCATTCAAAGTATGCAGAGTGGGAAAGCACCAGGGCCAGACGGCGTTCCAATTGAATTTTATAAGAGAAACTTCTTGTTCCATTATTGGCTATGTATGAGGAATCCTACACAAAAGGAATACTCCCTCCATCTTTAAGACTTGCAATAATAATTAATTCTGAAACCAAATAAACCACCAAATGAATGTTCTTCTTTTAGATCTAGCCTATTAGTCTGATGGGATCTCACATAAAAATACTCTGCAAGGCCTTGGCCAGAAGGCTAGAGTCGTATCTTCCGAATCTTGTGGGTAATGATCAAAACGGGTTTGTTAGTAATAGATAAGGATTTCATAATATTGGACATTTCTGAACATATTGTATGAAAAACATAGTTCGGGAGATACAGCTGTATTGTCCTTAGACGTACGCCAGGCCTTTGATAGGATCGAGTGGGGCTTCCTTTTTAATGCGCTCCCACAGTATGGAATTGGTGGGAATTTTCTGAGATGGATAAAGCTCTTGTACTCAAGCCCAACTGCTGAAATATTGACCAATAATAATGTCTCTAAACCATTTACTCTCCAACGATCAAATTGACAAGGGTGCCCATTGTCACCTTTACTATTTGTGTTGGCTATTGAGCCCTTGGCTATGGCTATAAGAGTTCATGAATGGATCACAGGTATAACTATCCGCGGTCATGAACATTACATAGCGTTGAATGACATCATTCTTTTTTTTAACAAACCTAAATGATAGTATTCCTCAATTAATGAATTTAATTGAAACCTTTGGAAACAAATCGGGGTATAAAATAAACAATTCCAAATCGGCATTAATATTTTTGAATGAAAATGAGAGATTGCAGCCTATTGTAGATACGCAATTCGCAACTACAGAAGAAGGTTTCGCATATTTAGGGATTAAAATCAGTCCTGATGTGAAACAATTAGTTTCTTTAAATTATGAACCATAGGTATAGGAAGGTATTTTCTGCAAAAAATAAAATGAAAATGATAAAATGAAAATACAATCTTCACTTACTTTCTTGTAAAAAAGAAAGATAAAAACTTTGCTCATTTATGGAACCCCTACATGCGTTTTTTGGAAACTCATGATTTTTAATTGTGATTAATCTGAAAAGTTCTGTAAAGTTTGCACTGCTGCGATCAGATTTTTAAAATTCACTTATTATTTTTATTCATCTCAATTTATATATTTTTTATTTTGCTGGACAGCAAAATACACCGTCCCGGTGTGTGTTTGATGTTTAAAGTCAATAAGAAAATTTCAATAAAAATATGTTTTTTTTTTTTGTTTTTTTTTTTAATTCAAAACACTGTCAATCAAGTCCAGCTACTTTGACAGTTCCTGTAATCATCATGCAGCAGCCCAGCATCCTGAGCAGTCCACTGCCCCAATACCTCCCAGAGACACTAAGATTACCTGGAAATGGCGTTTTGAAGCATTTGTCCAATAAACGTCTAGATTTGCTGCACTGAAAACAGAAGTGCCATTGGAGTCCAGTGAAGCTGCACTTTAATGGGTTTTATTGGATTCTCCTGCCTCAAGAAGTTAATATATGACAAAAATAATTATAAATCACGGTAAACAACATGCGAGAAATTATTGCTGATTCTGAATGAACTAGCTATAAAGTTCAGTAGGTTCTAGCATGCTCTTTGTAATAGCAATGTAAATACAACAGTATGTATTTCGCAAAATTTTTCATGACATTTTTGAGGAGGCTGAGTTCTATTGTAGTCTTAGGGCAGTTGCCACTGATTGGTTGGTTACTGCGAATACAGAGGTGATTTTAGCAGAATTTTTCAAATGGCTAAGCTAACACACTTTGACAGGCACAACAGCATAGTCTTATACCAACAATAAGATAATTTAAGCATCATTTTTTTGCCGTCTAAGACTTTTGCACAATGCAGTAGGTAGGCCACATATATACACCATTGAGCCAAACTATTATGACCACCCCACGTAAAGCTAATTATGTTGACAATCTAGCAAAAACAGTAAGTGTCAAAGACTGGGATGTAATAGACTGTAAGCTAACATCTAGTACTTGTAGTTGACATGTTGAATTTGGAAGAAAATGGCAGTGCTATAGATCTGAGTGACACTGAGTAGGACCAAATCTTTGTGGCCAGATGACTGGGCCAGAGCATCTCCAAAATGGCATGGCTGACAGGGTGTTGGGTGGGCATGACTCGGAGATGTGAACGAAGGGTTAAGATCTGAATGTTGATTGGTACTACATGGGATAGCCTTCATTCACGTCACTAAATCTGGGGAACACCTAGTTATTGCTATTGTTAATGACAACACAAAAAATGTGTTGTATGGACCTTTTTAAGTAGCAAACACATGCGTGCGTGTGTGTGTGTGTGTGTGTGTGTGTGTAAAAACACTGGGAGAAGTAAAAAGACATTAATGAGATGATAAATCACTGCATTCTATGCTCAGCATCAGTTTCCTGTTTCTCCGTGCGTCTGTTGCTCCTTCCTGCAGGACAAAGAAGATAGATGTTGTCATAAAGCAGTGGGAGGGCTCCTTCTTCCGGGGGAACCCAAAACTGCGGAAAAAATCCATCTCACTTCGCTTTGACCTGCATATGGCGGCGGCTGACGAAGGTTGTGGTCAGACACAGCTTGACGAGCTGCCTGATGTGGAAGTGCGACTAGTGATGAAGAGATCACGCAGCATCCCAAGCATCACACCTTGACACGAGAACCTGATGATGTGCTGTGCCAAAGATGAGCGTTACACTGAAGTCACACATAAACACTATTTATTTCTCACACCTTCAACCCAATCAGGGAGTATAATATGGTTTTAATGCAAGTTCACAACTGTTCACTTCCAGCCGTTCATTTTTGTGATGCTTATTCACTTATTCACAAGAATAACCCTTTTTTAATTTTCTCAGTTACTGTGGCAATATGCTCAGAAAACTCCCGCTGCTTCAGAGTTCCTTGATGTAAGAAAGAACATTAAAATCCTGTAGATTACATAAAGACACCATATGAGAAATAAGAAAGGGTGCGACTTATATTCTAATCCTTTACGATTTTATTTGCTGTGAGCTGTTGAATAAAAGGGTTGATGTGGACAGATCAATGGAAGGCATTTAGTTGATTTGTGATCTGCACATAAAATTCATGCAATGTATGTTGTACAATGCAAATTTATATACTTATTCTACTTGACATGTTTATTCTAATCTCAGTCACGGTGTAGTTAATGATTTCTGTATTGCAGTTTGACCTGACACAAGAATGATTCATTTCTAACTAGGGATACGTTCCTTATATATTCTGAGTCCTATATATAAATATTATTATTTAAAATGAGTAATGGTAAGTGAAATCACCCTTTTCTCTGACACCAAAGATGAAAAAAATATATAAAAGCTAATATCCATTTAATTTGGGTTCCTGTAATGTATAAGTCTCTTCGGAAAATGTTCTTCTCTATGCATTTCTTAATATGCTTGGATTGTGCTTGTTAGTAGAGTATTTGAACTTCAACATTTAGTGATTAAATAGGAAAGGCAAAAGCCCTGCTTTTAATCCAAAGAAAAAAATGTTTCAATAAAAAGAAATAAAGAATGAAGTGTTTGCATATAGTATTTTTAATATTTGAAACTGATAAATTCCAGAGTCACTGAATACTTGTGGCCTTACACTTCCAGGGTTGTGAGAACAATTCATGTCCTGGTTTCAGTGTGTGGAGTTTTCCTTTGTTTATTTCAGTCTCTTACTTAAGAGTAGACATTTAGGAGATCTAGTACCTCTAAATGATGTAATTTCAAGAAGTTAGTGTTAATTGCCACTGTGCATGGTTGTGGATTGGAATCCTGGAACCTGCAGGGTAATCACATCACCACTTGGCCCTAGAGCATTCTGCAGCGAGCAGATGCTGCAAACTAAATAAGTAGCAACCTAGGTGAACGACATGAGGGAAATGATAGGAGGGCTAAACTATAAATGAGGTATGAGCACAACGAACATAGTGATTAAAAAATTAAATAAAAGGGGGAAATCAAGGAAACATTATTATGTGAAGCACAGAAAGGTAATTGAAGATCCATCACATTTGTGGCCAGAATCCCTTTCAATCCACCAGGGACTCAAAGCAAGGAGTCAAGGAGTTTCCAAACCCAGTAAGCTAGCTCTGGTGAGGGCATCTCAGATGGAAAAGCATCTGACTGGAAGGAACAGAGGCTTAGCCCACTGAACCCCCTGCTGCTTCCCAGTGTGATGCCTGGAAGTATTAGGGCATGTACTGGAGTAGAGTGAGGCTTAATGTATTAAAATTGAAATGAGTAGCAATTTAAATGCATTTCAGATAAATGTCTCCTGAAAATCTGCGACATAATTGACCATGACTAAAACGGTTTTGTCTCTGCATTGGTATATCCTTGCAGTATTGGTATTGTAATATTTAAAGTGGTACTGGTATGGAGGTATACACCAAAAGGCAGCTCACAGTCAGGCAACCTAAGTACTGGAATGGTGGTATAGTGAGCCTTGAGATGATCAAAGGTCTCTTGCATAGGCAGACCCCATCCCAGGGCTCAGGGTTTCCCACGGAGGTAAGAGAAGCCACAGCAGAGCTAAACCCTCTAATAAAATGACGAAAACGCTTTGCAAAGCCAAGGAAGCACGGGAGGTCCTTTACTGACTGTGGCAACAGCCAGGATCTAACAACTGCCACCTTCATCTTTCCCATCTGCAAACCCTCTGGCCCGATGACTTACCTTAGAATGACAATCAGGGTTGATTGAAGGAGCATTTTTCAGCCTTAACCAAATTTAATATTTTCCATAAGACATTTCGTATGGGAATATCCACAACATTAAAAACGTCCAGGTTAAACCATGCCCAAATCCAGTATTACACCCTGCCCATTCCAGATACACATCCATAGACAGACAGTCCTCTACTTGCTCACTACATTTCTCACACCTGGCTCCTGTGCTTCCGGGACCCTCAGATGGTGAGGTGGATTAAGGTGCTGCTGGTATTACAGTTACAAGTTGAGCCTCACAGTGTCTTGGTTGAGCCTCTTTCACTGCCTGCATGTCTGGGGGTGCTACCTAACAGCAGATGGTTTGCTGCAGAACCAAGCCGTGAACTGGGGTCCCCGTTCACTCGCAAAGTCCTCAGGCAAACAGCAAATCCTGAAAACCTTGTTGAAGAAAATGTCAACAAGCTCTGAGGCTGAGGGAAACTTGGGTAGAGTCATCATCAGTCTATGATAGCCATGATTATGGTAGACTGTACCAGTTTTGGGCAAGTCGGTGATAAATTCCATGGCCACATGTGACCAGGGGTGCAGAGGTATAGGCAAGGGCTGGAGCTGGCGTGGTGGGAGTGCTTGGGGGGTCTTGCTGTTTGAAGGAAGTGCAAGAAAAGACATAACCTTGAACGTGTGCTTTTGGAGACAGCCAGGGTGCCTGGAATTCAACGACAGGTGTGTCTACTCAACCAATCAGGGTCACACTGTGGCAGGCATATACTGCCTGTTGCTAGGGGTGGTTGTAGAAGCTGGACCTTGCTGCAGTGCATGAGTAATCTCATGTAATGTGCACCCTGTGACATACTAGCGTTCGGTCCAAGTTGTGCCCTGTGTTTTCTGGGATGGGCTCCAGGCTATTTATGGAAAACTGAAGAATGGATGGATAATAGAAATATGAACAGTGGAAAGTGTGCAGGACCTGTCAGAAAAGATTTAGCTCATAATTAGGGGGAAACAGGAAGTAAATAATAATAATAATGTTACACTTATATAGCACCTTTCACAGTCCCAAGGTTGCTTCAAGTAGTAACGAATGAGAGAAAAAAATGATATTGGATTTCCTCTGCACATTCCGCATTTCATTTACACTGTGTTGTACTTTGCCTCATGTTATTTCCAGTGACATATGTTATCAGCTGTTTTCTTATTGTTTTTGTTTGCAGGTTGTTCTGGTTGTACTCCAGGAAACAGGTCCCCATAAAAACTCAATTAAACAAAAGTCTGTGGCTGAAATGAAAAAACTAAAAATGCAAAAACTAGCATTTTTCCCATAGAAATGAATGAGTGGTCTCCATAAAGATATGTTTACCTGACGTGTGTGTGTGTGTGTGTGTGTGTGTGTGTGTGTGTGCACATCAGTTTAAAAAAAAAAAACAGACATGACTTGCTGGCCCAAAAACCCATCGGCCCGCCGGGTCAATGTCCAAACTGCCAGATGGCCAAGAAGCAGCCATTAAAAAAATCATCAATTTTAATCAGAATGTCACTGGTATTACAGTCACTGGTGTTACACCATATCCTTGAAACCAGTGATTAATGTTAATGTAATGAATGATCAGAAAAAGAAAAAGCTAATTAATATGGACATTAGAATTTGTTAATGTTTTATCTGTTTGTTTTTCTATTTTGTAAAATAAAATGAAATAAAATTCTGTCACTGCTGTTACATGGTGTGTCACTGGTATTATAGTGCAGTTATGACAAGATGATTCTTATTTTTGATGAACTATTGTCTTTATTAAGAGTATCATACTTGAACTATAAACTGAAAATGAACAAACTGACAAAATACATGCCTCATTATGTAAACACCAGTGACAAACTATGTATTTTGCATTGATTCTGTAATTTAAATGATGAGATATTGTATTGTTTGGAAAACAATGTTAATGATGAAAACAAAGCAAGCCTCATAAGTATAATGGTGTATTAGATTCAAAGTTACCCTGCTAACATATTTGCAAATGAAACAGCATTTTTTTCAACTAGCAATAATTGTTTTACATCATTGTATGACCTCTACTATAAATGTAGTATAGTAACATTCCAAATACAGATGTAATAAATTTAAACTTTAAACCATTAACATTTAAAATAATTAATAAGTTGGTAGACCGCAATCCAAACTGGAAAGACTAGATTCAGGTCAGGTTAATCTTGCACTCAACAAACCATTTAGAAACACATTGCATGTTGTGTCATCTATCTCACAAAAATGAATGATGCACATGCAAGTAATTTAAACATTAGCATATACATTCATTGCACAGACAAACACCTACAAATGTATTTATCAGTCCAAATTTCATAATGCTTGTCCAGGGCAGCAACATGGTGACATATACATGTATGCCATAGAAAATATACATATTTAACATCTCACTGTTGCAAGATATTTCACAGCCAGTAGTATTGCATAGGCAGCAAAGGCATTTATAACATTACAATGTCAGATTTTTTTCTTTAAAAATATCATTTCGTGCTTCCTTTTTAATTAATGATATTTCCGGATATTGTTAGGAATTTTGTGGATAAGAATACGGTGGAGGTAAGAATACAACAACAAGGAAATCGGATTTGAACCAGAAAAGAGTGAAAAATACACAATACGGCAGACTGAAACTAAAATATACTTTATGGATATTATGTCATCAGTAAAAAAAAAAAGGTTGAAGCTAATATTTTCTCTGTATATTTATCCATATAAATGAGGAGGCTGAGATATTTTCCAAGAGCAAAACCGTCATGTTTTACTAAGCTTCTGGACAGAACAGAAGGACTTACAGTAACTCAGCCAGACCCTGCTGTGTTCCTATCTGTTCTAATCATAGATATAAGGAGTTGGAAGAGGTGGGGAAACTGGAACATGTGTGTCCGGGGCAGCAAAAACTGCAGTTATGCACAGGGGGGTTAGTATTTTTCTAAACCATATAAGGGGGTGTAGAAATAGAAAACTAAAGTAGCTTGTTTTATTCCACTCATACTGATGTGGCAGGGATGTAGGTGCACTTGAGGAATCTACATTCTGCCAGCCCTTGTCTGCCTCATGGGATGGTCTCCAGCTTGGGTATGAGCTGCCGATCCATCTGCTCGAAGGTTTCATCTCGTTCATTTTTGGTCTCCTGAACCTCACAGGTAGCCTGGTGATGTGTCTCCCACGTGCCTTCCTTGTACGAGCAGAAACATACATTCCGTTCGTCTATCTCCACCCTCACCCCGGCTGGGATCACTATGTTTCCAACGAAGCAGTTTGGTCCTGTAATGGGGAAAAGAGTCATTTTCACACAGTACTTTGTATGCGTTTCTGGGTAAATGTTTCACTATATGATTTATAAGTATCTCATGGTACTCCTTATATATTTAAATACATCTATTGATTCATTTAATATATCTATAGATACAAGGGAGTAAGTGAGAGTTTGAAATCGTGAGACAATAATTTAAACTTAATTTAAATGCAAAGTTCTATTTACTGGAGGGATAAATAAAGTCTATTTACATATTGTGGGCTACCTACACCCCTACAGCCAACCCCTAGACGACGGCAAAGAGATGCGAGTTTGTTTGTATGAGTGATACATATCTGCCTTTGTGCTCATGCTTGCTTCTTATTACTGAGACATCTGCATTATCGTTAGTATCAGAGTGCACCACTGCAGATAATATTTGTCATTTTTATGTCACGTGTGCTCAGCAAATAATATGTGTGAATGCAATTCAATATGTTTAAAGGTCGATGAAATAATTCTGTGCCTGTAAACCTTTGAAGAGAGGAGTACTTGCCGTTTTTGCACACAGGACAGCACTGGTGGGGCTCGTATATGGGGTTGACACAATGCAGACCAGGACACTCGGCCACAGTGCAATACACCTCCCTATTAGCTCCGCATCGGCACCTCTCACATGGGGACAACTGGACAAAACAGGCAACACAACACCGTGGGTAGAGAAGCAATATGGTATTTATTTATCTATTTTGTTTGTTTGTTTATATATAGCTGGCACATGCTGTTCCAATGAGCAGAATGTAATGACGTACCGCTACTATTTATAAAACAATATGCAATTGCACAGTTTCCAATTATACTGGTATGTGAACCTTAAGTCAAAGGGATGTGCTGTAGACAATTCTGTTTTGAAATGTTTAAAAAATATTTGCAGTGGCCGCACTCGCAAAACGTCTCGTCTAATGAGATTTCTTGGTTGGAACTAACTGTAGTATAATTATAAATATTTTTGTAAATTAAGTTAGCAAGGTAATGTTGCACCATCATATTATTACCAGAGATCAAATATTACAATATTATTCTAGCATTAAGCTAACATATTTCATCCTACGATGTACTTTTTACACATTTCGGCTCCTATTTGTTAGAACTTGATTAAGATTAATGTAAAAAACTATCACGATTTTTCTAATCATTTCAATCAATCATAACACACCGCTTAGCCCAATAATTAAGGTTACTGTTTAATAAGACAATATTGAAACAAAAACAGTAATGAAACAAGAATTATCATTTAGAAAAATTTCCAACACATATTACATATATATGTATAAAGTTGAGAAAGTTACAGTTGACGGCTCCGGCGACACTTTTGGGGACAATGAGGTGGGGAGGGGTCAAACAGATGTGACAAGTTTTCAAGTTTTTTTTTTCTAATTAGATAAAATACATTCAAATATTCAAAGTATCGAAAAGATTAGTAATTCAACTGCAGTTCCAATATCCTTTTACTGTATGTACTATTTTTTCAAGTTATTCGAAATTAAAATACGTTTCACTTTGTATCTTACCATGAATTCCTCAAGGACTCTGTAGGTTTTTCCCTTATGGATACAGACTCGGCTAATAGCTTCACATACCGGACAGCACGACTTGTAGATAATACGCGTGCATTTGGGATGAATCCGCGGACAACTAGGTTTTATGCAGATGGGACCATCTTCGGTGCAAGTGCAGGGGCAGGCAGTGTGACCGGGGAAATAGACTTCTCCTATACTGTAGACAAAGCCGTGGTCATCCAGGCACCACTTTCCCCGGTAGTCGCCAAAATCGTAGTCGATTTCGCTCTTGGAGTATTCTGCTGCCACGCTTAGAGTCAGAGAGGCGAATACGAAAAGGGAGCGTAATGCGTAAGGGCTCATCGTCGCTTCAGTCCCACGATCAGTCTATCTGACGCTTATTGCATTTATATAATGACTACATGCAACGGCGACCAGCTGAGCATTTTTTCTTTCTTCCAGCGAAGGATAAAAAGGACTCCGTCAGAAATCTGAATTGCATGAAGGTAACGTACTGAATAAAATTACTATTTGCAAGAATGTCAGGCAAGACAAAATTTGTTTTCCACCAGGTCAAACTAAAGGTTACGTAAAATATTCAGTATCTCTCTGAAGGACACTGGCACAGCAGCACAACAAATGACACTGAAAGGGATGCAAGGAAATGTTCGGCTTTCACGTTTACCTCTTTCAAAAGAAATCTGATTTTGTCAGATTAGGAGCTTGAAACGAAATGTTACAAAAAATCTATAAATAAATTAACCACAATTGCAACAGCACCCCTTATGCATGATTTATGCTATGATATGTTAATTTATGCCAATTAATTTTTATGTTTTAAGTTATTTTAACATATGAAATTGCAGACCTTACTAAAGGTCTGAAATTATCTGCCTTTAAATTCTGGAATGGCTTTTTCATTATCAGAAACTATTACCTTTTTCTATAACCCAAATATAGATAGCCTGTTCACAGCATGTACATGTAGTGTATACAGCCTCCAAAACAAACACACAGTGGAATTAACCGCTCTCTAAATTAGTTTAAAGCAATATTGAATATTATCACATTTATGAAAATTTAATGCAGGACTATTGTATTAGACTGCATTAGTTTTAGTCTAGTGTTCCTAATAAACTGGCAAATGAATGTATTTTTTATTGCTGATTTTTCTGGATGGCTGCTGCCACACCAGCTCATTGCTACCAACCACCACTAGCATCCACCAATGTCATAAATGCTTTAATAACTTTGCCACTGTCCTGAAAACCAGCAGTCTAGGTTGATGGTAAATATAACTCAAGAGATTTATAGAGTAGCTCTATAACCAGCGAAGTGCAACTGAGGATGAACTTAGTAAGAAATTAAGTAAGTAAGTAACTATTCTAACTAGACTAAGAGGGAGAACATCTTTAATTCTATTCATCTTATGTATCTTAATAAAGGTCTGTTTTCTTTGCATGTTTGCCACCTACAACCACCTGAGGGGAACGGAATGAACCTGCTAAATTTCCAATGACCCAGATCACGAGCTCCAAAGTGACCAGGGAGACAGGACCAACTAGAAAACAGACTAAGATGCTACCTGCAATTGATATATATTCCTCGTATTAATAATACATATTACTTCGGGCCTCAATCAGAGAGATCTGGCTCATCGCTTTCATCACACTACTCTGTCATATCATCCTGGGCCAACTATCCCTATTTTCTCTTGCATTCGGTGAGCATTTGGAAGCCCAGAGAGAGAATATAAACCCACCTGCCAGAGGACGCCCAGGTTATCCTGGACTGCAAAGAGCTCCGCTGCCAAACACCATCATCTGCTATTACAGAGGTCTTTTCCACTGCACCTTCAAGGCCTTGATAGATATTCCGCCTTTTGGTGCCATAACTTTGTGTCTGCATTGTATACCGGGTTTATTAGTGACGGAGAGCTATTCAGACAGTCAGGAATCATTCCTCTTCTAACCCCTGTCATGGCCATTATGCTGGGTAAGGGCTTCCTGTTAGAGCTTCCTCGTAAAATGTAGGACCCACTGGCCAGTTTTGCTGTCAAAGTGCACCAAATATCTGCACACAAAGTGAAACACACACAGCCTGTTACCAGGCTTAGGGTACATGAGTGATGCTGCATCTGTCAGGGAAAGGTGCATAAGTTGTTCACCAATGTCATCCCCATGTCAGTTTCTGGGAGCATAAATTGGCTGTTTACTGTGGCATGCCTACTTGTGAACTATCAGAATGGTCTTATCAAGGCATGATGCCACTAAGCCTAAACACTCTCATCTTTGTCTACAGTACTAGTGAAAAGTTTGGACACACCTTCCTATAGAAAGGTTTCTTTGTACTATTATCTACATTTTACAATAACTATAAATATATCAGAACTATAAAATAACACATATGGAATTATCAGAGGTGGCACAGTGGTTAGCACTGTTGCCTCACACCTCTGGGCTCAGGGTTCGAGTCTCCACCGTGGCTCCATGTGTGTGGAGTTTGCCTGTTCTCCGCCGTGTCGTCGTGGGGTTTCCCCTCTACGGTCCAAAAATTCGAAATTATCCACTGAGCAAGAAAGTATCACACCAAAAAAAATCATTTGTTGGAGGGGGAGGTAAAGGTCTGGTGACATTTGGCAACGAATAATAAATCCATCTTATTAATAACATATTAACAAACAGAAAACTTAATGTAGAAAAAAAATGAACAATACATATCAGTTCAAGTTTTGTACAGATTTGTAAAAATGTACAAAAAAACATATACCAAAACATCTCTAAACAGGCTGGACTGGTAGAAAGAACACACACATTGTGGATGCATATATGTGCCTGTGGCAGTAAACAAATGAAGTTGAGGGTATTTGAGCTGTTGCGATCAATTGAGAACAACAAAGCTTTTGATATACTATATTGAAAGTTGATAACTTATTGCTTCACTTCACACTTCAGTATAAAAAAGAAAAAATGATCCACTCTGTCTGTACACATCACTTCAAGATTTTTGTAAATTCGCTCGACTAGTGTCTCCTCCTGAGCACACACAACAAAATCACACCATACCATACCAGTCAAGAGGATCTGTCCTTGAACTTACCAGTAGTGTTTGTGCTACCTCTGAATCTGCAACACATTGCTTGACATTTTCAGTGAGTAACAGTGTGCCTAGTTCTGAATGTTGGGGCATTTGACTTCCAAGGGATCAAAGATTACTCCATATGGAGAGCAACCCAGCCATGGAGCGTCGTGGAGAACAACAAACAAAAGCCAATGAGTGCTTAACATATATGTGGGATCTCCTTCAGGACAGCTGGATAAGCATCTCAGGAGACCACTTCATGAAACTGGCATAGAGGAGACAGTAGCGTCAGCCGGTCTGGATCAGCTGGGGTTAAGGGCCTTACTCAAGGGCATCAGCCTGCCGACCCAGGGATTCGATCCAGAAACATTCTGAATCCCAACCCACAGAGCTGCCCCCCCTCCCCCAACATTCTTTTATCTAATACTTTTTAGTCAGTACATAATCCATATATGTTATTTTATGACTTTGATGTAGAGAATATTACAAATAAACATTTCTATGGGTAGGTATATCCAGATTTTTGACTGGTACTGTAAGTCCAAGAACATGGCATGCCTCATGGAAACATGTAGATGTTACTGTCATCATTCTCAAACAATGCCATTTTTGGCATGAACTCTACACCTAAGTTGCAGCTTCAGTCCATTGGGCCATGTTGAATGAGACCTCTATGGATTTAACATGCACTTGTTCCTGTCCTGATAAAACAGGCACGTTCTGAAAGCTCAAACCCATACTTTTGGATAGGAAGGCAAGGCTGAGTGGAGGCACCTGGGATGCTGGTGGCCTATGCTGGAATGAGAGCACTGCCTGCCTGTACAGTCCCAAAGTTAGATTCAGCTAATCAGCCTGCAGCTGACATGCCAATTGTTGTAATAAAAGGAGCAAATAAATCATTAAAGACTTTGTTGACCTCTGACAGTCATGGCACTATTGGGCAATTCTCCATCCAACGTAAAGTCAAATTCTGAAAAATATTAAATCTGATAAAGAAGAATGCATATGGCACATCGGCAAAGGCAACTCAAACGAATAACGGGGTTTGAGTGTTTTAACAGCAAGTAGGGAAAAATAGTAGCTTAGATGAGAAATTTTGATTAACTAAAGTTAGTGAAAATAATATTTAAAAACATATTGTATATTATACACTTAAAAATGATTCAGCTTCCTTGTTGGTATTACTTAGTTTTGATAATATGTAAATATACAGTATTAGTTTTTATGCATAATAATTTGAATGAACTCAGTTAAATCGTACAGTGGTTCCACACAACTAGAATTAGTTTTTTAAATGAAAAATTCATTTTAAATGTATACGTTCACCTTGTGTTCTGAGAATAGAATATAGTTGAATTAATCCCACTAAATTTTCTTATGCATGATTAAGCCAATTGAATCATTTTCATTCAACTTAAATTGGGTATATAATCTAATAGCAGCTGTGGATATTTTCACCCACTATCATGAAGAAGACAAATGCCAAATGCTGACCATACTTACATGTTCTCTATTTATAACATTAGAAAAGCTGTGACTATTCATGATGTATTCATGATGTGACTATTCGGGGTGTGTTTGTTCATTTTTATTGCCAGACCTAGCCTTATATATGCAGAAAGGTGTTAGGAGAGTTGCGACACCCTTTGCTGTGCATCTCCTGGAACCTTTGGAACCTGGGACCACTAAGGTTCACTTATGGAGAGAAATGATTAACAGGATTATTCTCCCCTGTCAACAGGCAACTCTCACAATAAGAAAACATCACAACCTGTTCATACTAACCCTGATGTTTCCTCCACCCACTGAAGAAAACTGGTTGAAAAGATCCCAAGACTGTCTGTCAGCTCTGTTTTGGCGAAGTCAGATATCCAACATCATAATTCAATTGAGACGATCAACCAAGTGTATTTACAACCAGAGCAAGGCAGAAACAGACTCTGCATCTATAATAAGAGAGGACCTTTGTCCCTCTTTATCAACCTCACCCAGGCATTCCGCAATTCTATATTCTAGAGAAAATCCTGAAAATCCATATAGGGTTGGCTTTATTTAAAAGTGGAGCAAACAGGTACACTACAGTAACAGCACCATGATGATATGGCCATAGTTAAATGATGAATTGGAAGTATGGGTACAGTGCTTTGCTGAAGTCCCACCTTCTGGAAACAGGGAATGTGAAAAAGGTCCATTACTGATACAAGAAATGCACATAGCAACATAAAATCAGCCAATCAGTGTCCTCAAATCGGATGCCTAAAGGGCCATAAATTAATCGCCCCAATCAGAGCCCTGGACATTTGCTGGGGGTGCCAGACCACTAGGGGTGACCTAGGAGGGCTGCAATAGCATTGCACAGTCGCCTTGGGCCACCATCTTTTGGCAAGCATATTCTGTACACTGCATATGGTAATGCAAAATAACTTTATATAAAAGCAAAATAGATAAAAATGATATAAAGAGAACAAATATTACTTGATGTGACCCACACACACTGAAAACAATACAGTCGTGAGCCTAGAATATTTTTCACCAGCTGCCACTGCTAAAAAGACAAATAAACAACAAATAAAGAAATTTTCAGCAGTTATTTTCTGAGCAGGGAAACTAGATTGACTAATCTGAACTTAGATGAACACAGAGATAAATCCCCACATAAAGATTCAATGTAAGGTTCATGCTACATTCTGAGCCTTTGGACTATCAAAAGGATACATTATACCTTTATGAAGACACATTACACCAGAACACTGAAACCCATTGTGATTTATGTGATTGAACAATCAGAATCCCATGCAGAATCATTTAAAAATTGGTTTTGTGTTGTTGTTTAAAATACTTTTGTTTAATATTTTAACATCACAATTTTTTTTATCTACATCTCATATTACATGTTGTACACTGCCTCATCAAAAAAAAGGTCACCATTTGAATTTTTATATAAGCAAATATTTTATGATTGCATTATTATTGCAGTAAATAATAGGTTTCAGTTGGCAATAGTTCCTTTAACTTCAACTGGCCCAGTGTGTAACTTCTCATTTATTAAACAACCATGTCTGAAAACGTATCCCATGGTCCCATGTACATTTAAGAAGGGGCAAATTATCAGCCTGCATCAAGCAAAGAAAACAACTAAGGAGATTGGTTAAAATATTGTAAATGGGTTAAGAACTATCCAACCCTTTTAAAATCCTGAAACGATGGTGATGAACCGTCAACTTTGCGGAAAAAATGTGGTCTAAAAAAAAGATTCCTTGATAAGAATGATTATGACTGGAGATCACTAAAACTCTTAGTAAAGTCAAATCGTTTAAAAAAACAGCAGTAGAACTCATGGCTACATGTACAGTAATAGTGAAAGAAAGAGCACTTCCATGCACAATGAAAACTTCCAAGATTGGGACTAAACAGCTGTGTGACCACAAGAAAAACACTTTTTTGTGAGGCTAATTGGAAAAAAGACTTCCAGGAAAGGGAAGGGAATCACATGAAGGGAAGGACCCTTCATGCATAATGCAACATGAAGTACAAGCCTCTGGAGGCAGTGTTACAATATGGAGTTGCTTCTGTTGGCCTGATCTAGGCTCAGCAACATTATGCAGCAATAAAATGAAGTCAGCTGAGTACCTGAAGGAGCAGGTTATCCCATCGATGTATTTTCTCTTCCCTGGCGGCACGAGCACATTCCAGGATGACAATGCCAATACTCATCAGGCTCAAATTGTGAAAGAGTGGTTCAGGAAGCATGAGGAATCATTTTAACACACAAAGTGGCCACCACAGAGTCCTCACCTTGACCCCATTGAAATAATTTGGGATATTCTGGAGAAGACTTTATGGAGTGGTTCAACTTTATACACGATATTGGCATAAAATTAATGCAAATATAGAAAAAAATAAATGTTGAGATGCTGCATAAGCTCATTGACACAAGCAAATCGTAATGAAAACTAAAGGCAGTCCAACTAAATATGATTAATATTTTTTCATTTTTATCATTTGTGTAATATCATCTAATCCTGGATATCGCATCAAAAATAACTTAGCATGCAGATTTAGCCTGATTTCCATTTTTGCTATATCATGTTAGAATGATGTTACTTGATACCAGAAGTGATGATGCCCCGTATCAACTCAACAGCTGAGCTTGAAGATTGCAGGGGGTCACATGGAGCAAATATATGACACATGTTCTCAGCATTTGACTCGTTGCCTTTCGATACAAAGCCAAACATTCTGAAAAAAGAGAGATTCTTAAGGTCGCATGTCTTGTAATACGTCAACAAGATTGTTATTACAAAGTACAGTGCCTTCCAAAAGGATTCACTTTTTCTAAACATTGTTGTGTAGACCTTTTTCCGAACTTAATTCTAAGATTTTTGAACAGACACATAATTACCCCATAATGACAAAGTGAAATCAATTTTTTCTGATACCTTAAAAAGTAAAATCCCCCATTTACATAAATATGCAGTGCCTTCAGTCAGTATTTGTATAACCTGGCTTAGAAGCATGTCAGCTCTGTATGTCTATGCTTGGGTATTTTCTTCGATTTTCCCTTGCGTATCCTTTCTGCTAGACTGGAGGGGAAACGCTTGCAAACTACAATGTTCTGCCCTGTTTACAGTTTTTCTAGGCTTTGTCTGAACCACTAAAACACATTCAAAAACTTGTTCTGCAGCCACTCCAGCATTGGTGTGGCTGTGTGCTTCAGGTCATGGGCATTGAGAAAAGTAGATCCCAGCCCTAGTCCAAGGTTGTGTGGATCAGATTTTCTTCAAGGATTTGTCTTATATTCCACCCTGTACAGTGAATTGGGAGTCTTTAAAGAACAGATGTGTCTATCATGCCAAGGGAAATTACCATAGGTGGATTACAGAAGTTCTAGAGACATGAGCAAATGAAATAAGAACTGAGCTAAATTGGCATTGATAATAAAGGGTCTGAATACTTATATAAATAAGGGATTTTGGATATTTAAAATTATTGATTAGGGTGTCACTGATAGTCACTCATATGAGGCCTTTTTAATGATGAAAGTAAGATATTACAATTTGAGATAAAGATTTACACTGGAAGCAGAAAAATAAGAAAATAACTTACATTGCTGATTTGCAGTCCTTTGGCCAACTGTAGAGAAAAGTTGTGAAAAAAAATGTTATAAATAATAAAGCAATGGCGACAGAGGCAAGACAAGCATGTTTTATAAAAGTATCAACAAGATATGTTTGATCTTACGTTCTGTTGTCAGGATCTTCCCCACAATAACTCAGTAGATGGCCAGGGTAATATTGTCTAAAGAAGACCCTATTTGGAAAATTTTATTTGTTAATAAATATCTTGACAGAATATGGTGCATTCACTATGTAAAGTAAGCTGAATTTACAGTAACAATTTGCAAACGCTTTGTGACAAAAGTTTCCTTGCAGATTTTTCCTAAATTTGACTTTGGAGAACAATCTGTATGAAATGTTAGAGCAATTAGATCTTTGTTCCCCAGTGTTTCTTTTCTATTCATTTTGTTTTCCCTATTTTGCGGTTTGTGTTCTGCTTTGGTTTTTGCTTTGTGCCTTTTGTGGTTATGTATTACATTTCTTATTATATTCCTAGTGTTAAAATCTGTTTCCTACTTTCCCTGTTAGTGTCTTAGTACCATTATTAAGTTAATTAGATCCACCATTTTCCTGTTTCCCTGTGCCTCATGATTGTTCTCACTGGTCCTGCGTTGTCTTGTTAGCCTAATGTGTATTTAAGTACCTGCTCCTGCTCTGTTCTCCAGTCTGTCATTGTATGTAGTTGTGTAGGTGAATGCAGTGTGTTTGTGTTAGAATCTATTATTGTTTTGTTAATGAATGCCGTTTCTTGGAGCCATAAGTGGATCATTGTCTTTTTCCCGCAGGCACTGTGCCATGCCCCGATAACATTAATGGCTGCTAAAAATTCATTCATAAATTCAGATGCATATGTGTATTCATTCATTTCATTCATTAATTTATTTGTTTATTTATTGTTTGATTGTTTGACTAATTATTGTCTGGGTATTATGTCAGTAGCTTTATGTTCAGGCCATTGATTTCAATTCCTTCAGCTTTCTTACTTCCTCTGAATGTCCGTTAGGGTGATGCCTTTAGGTGACACCATCAGATTGACGATTGTTGGTGTAGGTATGTTTTCTTGCTGAAAAATGGCAGATACTGCTTTCTGGAGGGCACAGGGTCCTGTCAGCATCTCTGTGCCCACCGTTCTCAGGTACAGGAAATTATATGCTGAAAACAATATAAAAAGTGTGAAAATGGAAATGTCATCATGCCATGTCATTTATTACTGCAAGGTTCTGGAATGAACAGCATATGATTGTCATTTTCTGCAACTAATTCATATAAATATTTAACATTTGGTTTTCCAAAAATTTTCTTCAAACTTAACGGCAACAAAAATGACATAATCTTACTGGTTCCAAATCCGCACACAGTTTCAGTATTCTCATTGATGGTTTCTCTGTCTCTAAATCACCTCAAAAGTAGATTCTCCTTTAGTTGTCACATTAGTAATATCTGTCAAACTCCTTTTTTCCATTTATGTATCATTGCCTGGATTCATCATGCCCTCTCAATCAAACACAATCAGGAGCTCGTAAGTTATCTGACTACCTCCCGGATTGACTACTGCAATGCCATTCTAGCTGGCAGTCCTAAAAATCTTCTCAACAGACTAGAAGTCATTCAAAACTCTGCTGCCCGTATCATCACTCAAATTAAATCTAGCAATCGCATCATTCCAATACGCATTCAACTTCATTGACTCCCCATCCCCTACAGGATCAGGTTCCAAATCCCTTTACTTAATTTTAAATCCTTTTGTAACCTTATTGTAACCTAGTAATATCTGTGACTTCATCTATTCCTGCTCTCCCTCCCTGTCCCTTTGCTCTTCCACTGCACTCCTACTTAGTGCACTTTTCCACTGCACCAAGTACCATACTTTTGGTATGGTACTTTTCCTTTTTCATTGAGTACCCTTACCAGAAAAATGCCAAACCAGCTGTGGTATTTCTTTGGTATTTCTTTTGCTCATGCAAAAGTAGTGGAGGTAAAGTTTAAACTGTTTTTTAAACATATACTAGATAATATTGAAGAGTAAAAATAATTAAAATTGCAAATCTTGCTAAGTGTAAAAATGTTTTAGCGAAACTTAGACTCCCTGCATTATAATGTCCATTACGAATTCAAGGTAAGGAAGCAGGGGTGCTGCTAAGGATTTTGGGCCCCATGAAAAGAATCTTGACAGGGCCCCCAACACAGCTGAGACTACCAGCACCACAATTTTATTGGGGGCTTCTCTGGGCCCCCTCTTAGTCATGGGCCCCGAGAATCGTCATCGTTTACCCCCCCTTTACAGCGCCCCTGTAAGGAAGCCTGATCTTAATCTTGCTGACTAGTGATGTATGAATTGCATGCACATGTGCATGACATGAGATGTTGGTATTAATAATGCTCCACACAGAAACATGCAACCTCCACACAGAAACATGCAACCTCCACACAGAAACATGTAAACTCCACACAAAAAGGCACCCTGGGTGACCCAGGGACCAAACCCAGGACCTTCTTGCTATGATGGGACAAGGCTAACCACTGCACCACTGTGCCACCCTTTTCTGCTATACTATGTTTTATTTTTGATTAGGTGACCTTGAGTGTTTTGAAAGGTGCCCTTAAAGAAAATGCATTATTATTATTATTGTTGTTGTTGTACTAACAACAACTACTACTACTATTACTGCTACTATTACAGCAACAACTACTACAATAATAATAATTACAATATCACCCATCCCCATTTTACCAGTGTTGTTCTTGTTCTTTGTAAATGTTGGGCTTGAGTCATGTTTTTGACTATTACTTTCACCTGTGTAAAAGACTAATTTGTGTGATTACTCACCAGACTGTTTTGATGACCCTGTTCCTGATTTTTCCTTGCTGTTATTATTCTCTCTGGTCCTGAAATCTGTAACAAGATTCAGATGTTACAAGTTGTACTCTGGAAATGACAAGCTAAATGCTCAATTTTACTCTTATGATTAAGTAAGTCATGGCTATTCATTTTACCAATAATTAAAAAAAAAAATTAAAACTAGCTTCCACACATTTTTCATGACATTGTAATATTTTATCCCACAATTAAAGATTAACATAAATAGTTCCGTTTTAAAATGACAAATAAATGCATTGTTTGTATTTGTTTTTTTAAATTTTCTGATCTTAATGTATAATTTAAAAAGTATTTGTTTGTTTCATTCATACCTTGTGTGGGGATGCGCAGTCTGCAGGGCAGTGCATAAGGAGTAATAACATGCTGGTAGATCAGAACAGACAGGCTACCTGCAGTAGAGCGGAGAGAGTTGGCTCTAGTGTGATGCTATTTGTTGAAACACAAATAAATTAAACAAATGTGTTTTTTTTGTTGTTTATACAAGGACAACACAAGGTGTAGATTACAGGAATGAATGTTTGCTTAGAACCAACACCAAACAAAATAGAATTTGATTTAACTAAGTACTCCAGCTGTTTCTTGCAATGGACTGGCATCCCATGTAGAATGTCCTCTGCCTAGTGCCCTGTGATTCCTGGGAGAGATGCCAGGCTCACCCCTCCAACATTAAAATAACAAATCTCTTTTTCCCTTATCACAGTGCAGTGAGGAGTGGGGTAGAATGTGTAATACCACTCTGTCTCATTGTTTGCACTGTGATATGCTTCTGCATTTTACAGTTTCATCATACATGTAACCTGCCTGACCTTTACATGCCATCAATTTAGATTGTAATTTCTAATGAAAATGATAAATACATTTAAAATTACATCTTTACAAGTAAATTCATTTTAATTTAATATCATTTATAATTACCAGCTTTTTTACTCTTCAGTAACATCTTAATTTAGACTGTAAATAATCTGAAGAAAATTATGCGATTTTGTACAATATAATTTATATATAATTTGATGATATTGTCACCAAATATAGATGTTGAAAAACCCAAAGTCCCAACTTTTTTGGAATTGGGGTTGTACACACTGAATGACTCCACCCAGGATATTTTCTTCTACTGTCATTCCTCTCTAAACCCAGTGAAAGACCTAATGAGAACTTACCAAAATATGGCTCTTCAGTGGACCCCTTAATACAAACACCTTTAGCAGATGATTCAATAAGGTAATGTCTCACTAGAGATGTACTATGGATGCCGTCACCTTTAATAAAACAAGCAGTTATTAATAAATCAATATCTTTAGCTAGAAAAGTGCATTTCCGGAAGAAAATGCAAGTGTGATTATTGCACAGCAACAAGCAGGTGCTGCAGGTTGTTGATGTGGTGTCTCACAGCTAACCAACTGTTCAATTCACAGAAAATAGCCAAAAATACTAAGTTGATGTGATGTGTTACTCAAGGTGGTCATGAAAGTATTTCTAGGTGGTCGCTAAGGTGTTGCTAAGTATATAATGTGGGTGCTAGGGTTTTGATATGGTGTTGTTAGGTAGTTGCTAAGGTTTTGCTAGGGTAGTTAAGGTGGTCGCTATGGTGATGGTTGCCCATAATGTGTGATTGTGTGAATGTGCACATGTATCTGCCCATGATGGACCAGCATCTTCTCCTGGCTCCCTACTCTGCATGGCATAGGCGTCAGACCACTTCATGACCCTGCACTGGATAAGCAGTACCTTTCTCATTATGAAATCAATTTCTAATAAGTATATAGTTTTGTATCTGCATGCGTGATTACCTTGGTTACTTAGCAGTTACAATTTAAAAATGTCCACGGGAGGTCTTACCCAACTGGCAGGTAGATTGGAGGTTTGAATATTTCTCATGAACTTTCAAGGCGAGTCCAAAGGAACCTTGAAAAGAGGTACTGTTCCGTATTACAAAGGAGCCCGGTTCCTGATCTTGCAGGAGGAAATCCGCTTTAAAATCAGACAAACCAAATATCAATGTCAATAATATAAATGTTATATATGGTACAATGAAATGCAATACAGAAGGATATTCTAACAGAACCATTTTACTGTGATGTGTGTTTAAAACTTGCTTAATTGTATTGGATATTTAGGTACAGACTTTTCAACTTCTAAGTTTCTATTTATTTCCCTTTAAAAACATTAGTATAAGTCAGGATTTCTCCTTTTTCTGCTTCCTCTAGTTGTGTTCCTGCCCACAGTTCCTTGTTCCTGTGTTTTGGGCATATCTTTCACTACAAGAAATCAACTGACTGCAACTACTGATCAGCCTAACTGGCCAAGTGCCCATACCTGTTCCTCGTTGATTACCTCTTACCCAGTGTTTTTAAGTCTTGTTTTGCTAGCAGCCAGTTGCCAGATTGTCTTGTGCTCCTACTCTTGGCAGTATGTATGTTTGTATCTATGTATGTATGGTACAGCTGTTTGCACATTCAGATCAGATGCCAAACTGCATTTCATTGTCAGAGTACTTGTACTTTGTGCAATGATAATAAAGTTAAATCTTGTTTTGTCAACACACCACCACTGCGGTGAATTCCATTAGCTTTACAATACTCCCTGAAAAAAATGGTCAGATCTGAAAACAGAGAGAATGCGATGACCTGCTGTGCCCTGAGTCAGCGTAACTGCAACAACTGGGAGCAAACCCACATCCTCACTCTCATATTTCAACATTCGTATAGCATCTAATAGGGGATGCACTGTTATCCAGTGAGGTACCAGACCAGATGGGAGATACTGAAGTGGTACATGAAGCTCAGAACAAACAAATGATAATGTCAATGTCATGCCGGCATCACTGATAACTTGCACATTAATGGAATGACCTGGCTTTTGATTGATAAAAGTACACTATGAACATTTCCTAATACTTTTTCCATATAGTGTAGCTTAATTGGCACTCATCTCATTGTCTGCTTATGCTGTTGAATGCTTTACTGTTGTGCATTTACTAAACTTTGATTTGATTCAAGGGTGTTCTGTGGGGGGTGTTTCAGGAGTATAGGGTACAGGGTTCCTGAGTCTCCTTCACTCTAAAGTACTTTTCTCAGATTTCTGTTGTCTACAACATAAACCATCAGGGCAGCACCAGGTCTCAGTCATCACTGAAGGCAGAACCGGACAGTTGGAAGGACTTAGACACTCTGGCCCATGCCTGGCCGAATCTCAGGCTCTGTCACATGCTCCCTTTGTCCTGCACAGCCTCCTGCTAATTGAGCCAAGGTGCCTGTTGAGACCCTGATTTCCATTGCTTCGTCTTCTTGCCAGCTAGCCGTCCGGACAACATCCACTGTCTCAGCTGGACAGCCAAATTTGGTATCCCAACCCAGGTCATCTGCAACTTTGGACTTGGACGCTGATGGGCCCAGCCCCGTTTTAAAGGTTTCTGACAGCTAAGTTCACCACACTATTCTGAATGCTAGGGCTCCATTCACCAGAGCACTGTATAGTTGTGAGTGGTCGATATTCAGTACTAAGGTTCTGTCATTGCAGTATTCTAATCTACCCATAGTCCTATTGGCTTACTATTGTCCACCATTCCAGGAGAAGGTCCACGAAAAACCATTTGTTCCCTGTTCAACCAGTTATTTGTGTGTTTCAGGGGTAACAATGTGGAAGCTGCCATCTCTAAGCAGTGGTTCTTCTGCTGGATCATCAAGGTCATCTTTAAGGCTTAGAATGTTAGTGGCCGGCCCTTGGCAGTTGGTGTTGATGAGTGTTCCTATGTCCTGAGCTGCACTCAGAGGTGTCTACATAGCGGACAACTATGCTGAAGTTACTTGGTGCTCACTGTGCTACGTAATACAAGGTAAAAGTGGTTGCGCCGCAGATGGTGGAATATGCAGTTCATTAGGCTTTGGTGAGTACTTCCTCATGACTCGTGTTAGTATGAAATATCATACCGCCCCTGGCAGTTGGGAGGAATGAAAGAGAACTCTACTTCTGAATGTTACCGTGATTCTATAAATTCCAGATGATCATCAGAGTTACCTGTTACTCGGAATCTGTGAGAAGATTCTGTAGTAACAGAGTGTTTCATACAAATTCGTCCCATCAAGCTCATTTGGGGAGAACTTAACTAATAGCTCAGAGTTGTTAAAATCTTGTCTAGCTCTGATTTAGAGGAACCCAGGGTTTTAGCTTGCACTACACTAACAGGGAGACTATTCCATACTCTAACTACATGCTGTGTAAAGAAGTGCTTTCTCAAATCCATTTTAAAACGTTCTCCCATTAATTTCCACCCATGGCCTCGAGTTCTAGTATTTAAGCTAATATTGAAGTAGCCATTTGGCTGAACAGCATCCAGACCTGTTAGAACTTATATACCTGGATCATGTCCCCCGTTAGTCTCCTTTGCTCGAGGATGAACAGATTCAGCTCAGCTAACCTCTCCTCATAAGACATTCCTCTATGACCAGGAATCATTCTTGTAGCCCTACGTTGAACCCTTTCCAAAGGAGCAATGTCCTTTTAAAGGTATGGTGACCAACCCTGCACACAATATTCTAGGTGGGGTCTTACCAAGGAATTATATAATCGTAGCATCACCTCTCCTGACTTAAACTCCACACACCTAGAGATGTAACCCAACATCCTACTGGCCTTTTTAATTGCTTCTCCACACTGACGAGAGTGGGACATGGAAGCATCAACATACACACCGAGGTCTTTCTCATAATTTGGACTGATACAAATATGGCTGCAACATATGCAAAATACACCAAACCTCTTGTTTCAGTTCAGAGTGAAGCAAAACTATACGTATACCAAAATACCATATCATTGGACAGCAGAAATTTCAACTGATGGAAATATATACTAATATTTCAGATATGGGATACTTAGCTAATAGTGTTGATACAAAAACTAGAAATAGATGACTGGACAGAGTTCTGAATTTAAACATAGAGTGAACATACTCACAAATAATACATAGTCAATTTCAGTCAGGGGAATCATTAACTCTCTAAACAAAAAAGTGACCACTGTAGCTTTGGCATATATGTAAACAATATGGTTTACTGTTTGGCAGGATGAACAGATTGGGCAGTGCCAGAAACTGTAATGTGGTCTATGCATGGTAAAAAAAAATGTACTATGTGCATGCATACTACATGGGGGATACAATTCAGGTGGTGTGAATCAGGTAGTAACACATACCCTCGCATGGCCCCTACACCCAACCCCTATGACGAAAATTACATCACCACAAAATTCTTACCCTCCTCTCGGGTGATGTGTGGGCGGAACCAGAACTGTGATTTATCCATCACAGATTTTATGGAGGGCTGGTTTCTTTGCAGTTGGACTGAAAAAAGATATCAAAGGGTATTTTCATCAATGTACGCAGCAGACTCATTTAAGTGCCTGAGTGATGGGGACAGCGGTGTACTTGATTACTTATTACAATTAAAGGGCTCTATGAATTGAATTACGGTTAACCTATAACTAATGTAACTTACAGGGTTGTTAATATACTGTTTGTATATGATGATGCAAAAGAAAATAGTTAAGGGATCCCAGAAGTAAAGGGCTCTAATTGTTCAAATATATAAATATTTATTAAACTGGAAGCCCAAAAAAGTATTTTAAGTTCGACAGTACAGGAATTATCAGTTTTGAGTACCAGAAATCTGTATAGTGCTGTTACCATGTGGAGACAGGGTGGAACCATCCGAAGATATTTTCTCCAAATTCTGGCTTTCCAGGATGCAGACTGGGTGCTCCTTCTGAGGATGTCTGGCTTCATCCTTAGTCTCAGGGGCTCCATTAATCAGAACCACAGGGATGTCTGACACAGATCCAGCCACAGAAGATGAGCAACTGTTTGGGTTGGAGGTGCAGATTACTCTGTGACTGTGATGAGGTGTTGTGTGCAGAATCTGTGCAGACTTGTCAAGTTTGTGTTCAGAGAAGGATGGTTTGGTTCGCCTTGGTGATTGAGGGCAGGAGCTGATGACATCATTGTAAAGTATTGGGGAATCAAAAGTACTGCAATCTGGGAAATCAGCATCATCGCTGAGCAGAGAATGGCAGCTGGATAGAAAGAAAGTTTTTTTTTATTGAATGACAACTAAAATAGAACCAGAAGCAACAAAATACTTAAAATAAAACGGTAACAATAAATGAAATTTATATAAATATAGGATTTCAAGACTGTCTTCAATAAGGCTTTTTTTTCGATATTTAACAGTTTCATCTGGGACTCTGACTGAATATATCAGGCTTATCAATAGTTTCTTTGGCTCCATATAGGCCAATTCAAACAAAAGAATGAATGAAATCACTAATCTCTATGGGGCTGCTTACTAATATTTCTATTTTCACTTATGCATAATTGTGTATAATACAACGTTTTATATATTCCATATTTAACAGATAGAAACTTTAGAGTCAGAAGCATAACTTAAGGACTTAGTTATATTAAAAAAGAATGGGAAGCCGGTTTTAAGCCTGAGTGTAAAGTAAACAGGAGGACAAACCTGCCAAGAATATAGCTGGTGTCTGACTTGGGAGAACAGGAGAGCAATGAGGAGCCACTGCCACGACAGCGGCTCAGCAAATGCAGGGAACCGGAAGGAGATGACGCTTCCCAAGAGGCAGATAGGGGAACCTTACTTCTGCTGGATAGGAGATGCTGTGATAAAGGATGTGAGCCAGAGAAAATCAAGGAAGAATTGGGGGAGCAGCTTGTTCCTGAGGACAGAGGAATGGGCACACTACTAGAGTGTGCGGAGACTGAAGGTGAGATGTTTTGTGTCTGAGAAGAACACCACTTATCCTGGACAGGAAGGTCTTCCTCAGGTGATGTGTCTATAGCTGTGGATCAGGAGACAGGCAGTGACAAATTGGAACATGAAGTAAAGGGATCACACTACAATCATTACTGTTACATTTTGATGTCAATGTCAACTTTATTTATAAAGCACTTTTAAAGATAAGCACATTTGTTAAAAAATAAAAATTGATAGTTATATATGGATTCTTATTTTTTCCATGAGAACCTGAGAAGCCTTCACAGCTCCTAAAACAAATCTTCACAACAATCACCATGACTGTAATACAAGGGTGTGTAGTTAAATGCAGTGAATATATGAGCCTGGAAGCAAAGGAAATTCCGATCAAGCACATGCCTGTTTTGAGTAACACCCAGCTTACAGTCTTATGATGAATACGCCAATTTAAACCATCCAAATCAAATAACATTCTCCAAGATAAGTTTCAGCCTGTTTTGGAATTGCTGTATTTGTGGCCCACTATTCCTAGATATGGGAGGCTTCTACTAATCCATTTGCATAATCTGTCTGTTACTGGCAATGAATCTGTACAGACTCACGACACCTTAGGTTCCAGCCCATTATTTGGACCAGCTATCCAAAACAGGAACAAGGTTGCAGTACAAAATTCATATATCTATGAAATTACTAATAAATCGCCATCTTAAAATTATATAGCTATATTCATATTTTTATATTACCGTTTCTCTTGATTGCTTTGGCAAATTTCCTGAAACATACTTAACATTCTCACGACTCATAGGCATTCTGGCTGTCATGAATTATGGCCTTTTGCAACTAAACCATATTGTTGTGCTACATGTATGAACTGTTTTAAGAAATGCCGTTATAGTCAATGCAGTGTTATGTATGTTTCATGAAATGTGTCAAAATCAACTGAGAAAAACTACAGTATTTAGTCTTAACATTATGTCTTTAAATACCTTATAAAACTTGATTAGCCTGATGAGACACATCATTCAGAAAGGATCAAACGTGTGCTTGTTTTCAGGCTGTACGCAGGCCTACCTGTACAGGGGCTGCTGTCAGGACTCCCTCTGATCGCTGAAGGACCACAGATCGGTTCGAATGTAGGGTCCAGCTCTAGAATCAGCTGATTTAGATTCTCCAGAGATATATCAAGAGTGGGGGAGATCGGATCCGTCTCCCTGCAGTCAGTCTGCCTCTGACTTCTAGCCCAGGGTTCAGTAGATAATGCATGGGAAAGTGGGTAGGCTGACAAGTCATTGTTCTTTGCAGGAAGGTGAAGACGCTGTCTGAAACTTTGCACATGTGCTGTTGGGATCGCTTGTGATGTGTGTTGTGATATGGGAGTCATGCATGCAAAAGAATCTCTGTTTGCCATATCAAGCTATAACGATATTATAGCAGCAGTTGTATAAATCTGAAAAAAAAATAGATATGTTAATGTCATATTATAAAAGATATTACATTTATATACATATTTCATTTATATGCACATTTAATATGTGTTGATAACACTTAAAGCTGTCGTCTATATTGCGTTATAGATGAGAGCTTCATAAAGCATTCATAATATATGATAAACATGGCTAAAACGGATTGTGTCTTTTTAATATTTTGAGCCATGTTTAGAACGCTTTAGGAATGCATTATAACATGTTATAAATGTGTTCATAGATTCTTATAGACATGACATTCATAGAGAGTGTTATTCATATATCCAGTATTATTATGTTTGACTGTCACAATTTCTTATTTCTCATGCTACTTGATAATCTTGTTAATGCATTTCACAAAGGATATATTTGTTTGTGTGTGTGTGTGTGTGTGTGTGTGTGTATGTGTGTGTGTTCCTCCAGTAAATTCTATAGTTAACTAGGTTCACATTCTTTAAAGGTGTTCATTTGCCCCTGAATATATCACTATGTACCTAGTAATGTTGTTCCTGCTTATTTATTTATTTTACAAGAGGAGACACTGTAACACAAAGGCCACATCGTTTTCCTTTTCATATTTGTCTTCTCTGATTTATGTAGTATTATTTTAGTATATTTACTAAATCTCTAGTCTTCTTCATATGCAAACTACCTATAAACATTTTGTTTATGCTCTGCATTACTCTGATATTTAATGTTAAACTTGATTAAACCTAAAAAGCTTTAAAGTGTGCAAACTTTAGTGGGTTTATCTCACACAAACATTAGTTTAAGCTTGTCCTAAGCATTGTCCTAAGAAGTGACTCATACTGGTGACATAATCAAATGCATTAAATATAATCCATAAGTGTCGTCCTTGCTTTTGTCTAACAAGGTGTGGTTCCTGTTGAGTCATAGATCCAAGGAACATTGCTATGACAATGGTAGGCCTGCTACAGTTTTTATCAACTGCTTTGATACATTTCTAAAGTGGCTATTAGAATTTGCAAAACTACAAGTTATAATCCCCACACGATAATGTCACTTCTGCACAGCAGAATTTCATTTGTCATTGTTTCACACTAATTTCCAAATATTTCAGTATATTTATGCAAATGGTTATGTGCAATTGTTATCATTTGGCATAATGTTAAGTTGCTTGTTGTCAAAATGGATTATGGAATTTCTCATTGAAATAATATTACACCCAAAACGATATATGTAAGTCATTGTAAGCCACCACATGTAGAACAGTTCAGATTGATTCAAGAATATATGCTATAAATTCCAGTGATACGGCATTTTTGTGTTTTTGACCCCCACAATACATGATTTTATTGCCATTTTGTGGTTTTTGTGTTAAGCGGTGCTGTGAAACTTGTACATCTGCATGCAAGTTACTAATGCATTTTACATAGTAAAATGTAGAGCCTTGCAATATTGAAACTGGTGTCTTTGACATCAGTACCAGTTTGCTAAAGAAAAATGATGAGTCAGTAACAGTGAGGAAGTGCAAAATAACTATTTTTCAGAATTGTGGAACTCTGGACATTTTGACAATGTGTCTTTTGAATGTATTTTAAGTCTTCCTAGAGCCCTTTTATTGTAATAAGTAATCAAGTACACCGCTGTCAGCATCACTCAGACACTTAAATGAGTCTGCTGCGTACATTGATGAAAATACACTTTGAGGGTACTTTTCATTTTAGTGGCACGTACTAATTCATTGATAGAATTATCTGCTTTTGAGACATAATTGTTTTGGGTGAGTTATGGCCTTTTGCATCTTAACCATGATGCTATGCAATACGCATAAACGAGAAATACTTTTATAGTTGTAAAAATGTCCGAAAGCAATCGAGAAAAACTGTAATAGTTCTGCCAGCTCTAGTTGCAAAAATAACATATTTAAGATCGGAAATTACCTTAGCTGACTTCTTAACCTTAACGGTGCTGATGTATTAAATGGAAAAGATCCATAACGCGTAAATGGAATATCAGAATTGTAATGCGAGCCTATAGCAACAAATTTGTTTCCATCGTGTGTTTTATACGTTCTTTGCTTTGGATCTTATTTCAGGTGATACTAGTTTGTTTATAAACATTTATAAAACACTAATAAAATCGTTTAAAATAATTTATTCTGGTTATTTTCTCCATTATTAATATCGGGCAGTTTAAATTACCAGGTTGTATGAAACCGGTATACATTCAAAATTTGATACCTGATGTACAGGTAGTTCCCAGGGAACAAAGTTTCTGCCTTTAGGTCGAAGGTAAGTCGGAATAATGATAATAATAATCATTACTATTATTACTTTACTTCGAACTGACGAACCACTGAAGTCGCGCAATGTTTTCACGAGCGTCACAAATACGTCCGTGCGCTCATTGTTTTAATATAACACACTTCATGGCGGTCCGTTCCTTAGTACAAGTTATCAGACGTTCTTAACCGGGGAACTGCATGTGTATCATGAAGTGCCAAATGAAAGCCTTGGTCTGTTAACATTCTACGGTACTTTTTTTAACATTGATAGTTCCATTGAAACTAACATTCAAAATATCTACAATATAAAGGTTTTCAATTCATATATTTCTATCTATTTATTCATTGTTATTATAATTAGTTCAGTTCCTTACCTTGTGTTGCCTGAATCAGAAGTCTGCTTCTGTAATAATGAAAGCTTTGATGTTTTCCGTGTGCATGCACAAGTTTAACTAACATGTAAGTCTTTTACAGAAGCACATAGCCTACCTATCCCACTGCCAGCCAGTCAAAGGGCCGCTATAGCTCTACAGGCACATTCCTGGGTGTAGCTGCTGATGAAATGAGTAAGAGCCGGGCCCGGCTTCACGGGGGGGCCAGGGTGGGCCAGTGGGCGGGGCTGGCCCACCCAGCCAAGAGGTGTTGGAGAAATAGAAAAAATGTGTTCTTTTCCCGAGGACATATTTTTTCGTTTTATTTCTTGCAAAAATGTATCTTTGATTTGCGCATAAACGTAACAAAAGTATAAATATTCTCGGACTCCGTACATACAAACAGCGCGTTCATACGAACGGAGACGATCATCCATCGATGTTAACTTTGATAATTTTATGTGACATTTTGGCGGTCACCCAGTTTACTGTGTGCATTTCTGTATCTACAAAGAAACTTTGCTGTCTGTACATTAACTGAACATAATATCAACAACCATTTTCCATCTTGTCATCTTAATTGTTCGTACCAGTTTTCGATCTTTTATTTAGCTAAACATTTAGACATTTTGATAGGTTGCTAGCTAACTTTATTGGTTAGCTGAACACACTAGTTAAATAGCTAGTCACAGGAGTTTAGCCTAAATTTACGAGCTAGAAACGTATAGATTACTGGTACCAAAAAAAAGCTACCCCAGATATAGTATGACAGCCTTTAATGTTCAGCTTAGTGGATCGGACTCTCACTCTAGTTCGGTTGATGTTTCTTGCAGTGATGATGTTGCTGATCCGTCTCTCAGTGATGGCGGTGTAGCCGATTATTTGAACAGACAATCTCCAAACCAGCCTGTTCTATTCTAAAAACTTATCCCCGGCGAGAAATCGGTGGTAGAGAGAGGTATTTCTCTGCTATGTGGTATAAGTCTAGATCCTGGCTTGAATATTCCATCAAAAAAAGACGATTGCTTTGCTTTCCCTGTCGGGTATTTAGTAGTCCCGCCTGTCATGACATCCCGTATTTAAGGTTCAGTGCTATTCTATGTATAATATAGCTTAAAAGTAGCCAATAAAGTAGCCAGGTTAGGCAGCATTTTGTGCAGAAGTTTTATTTTCTGTCTGAAATATCCTGTTTTAGTAGAAATGTTGTGTACTACTTAAAGTATATATGATGGAGGATGATCCACACACACGCACATACATGCATGGAAGTACTGTTAACATTCCATGAAAAATATATATATTTTACACAATCTTATATCATTTTGTTTGTGGTTTAGTTAAGAACTGCAGTTTTTCTCGATTGCATATTTCATAGAAGGTATTTAACATTTTCATGACTATAACAGCCAGTTGCAAAGAAGGCAGGTAATGTATCACTAGACTGATGAGATTTTATTCAGCATCTGCACAAGCAGAACTGCATAGGAATTTGTTGGTTTTCCGGGAAAACCAACAAATTCCTATGCAGTTCTGCTTTTCCCATATGCCACCATGCTCTCTGGGTAAATATCATGAGAGGTCATTTGGGGGTAATGTCCCCCCAAACTCAACAAGGACACTATCTTTTATTTCCTTTTAATTTTATTTTTTTAAAAGAGGCATTCATTCTAAAACAAATAAATAAAAATATCTCAAATGTGTCAAGCTCTGCCCCTCCTGTTTCCACGGGATCGTGGTCTTAATGAGCCATGCCCGTTCGTCATTTGTCTTACCTATTGTTCCTGCCCTGATGTGATTTACTCCAGCTCCACTCGTTTGTGCTCTGATTAGTCCGTGTATAAAATGCTTCTCAGTCTCGTGCTCCTCAGTCCAGTAATTGACGTCACTATCCTGCATGTGAGCCAGTGGTTTGCATGTGCCAGCCTTTCTGGTTGAACTCTCATGGTCTGGTTGGTTTTGTCCTGCTCCCGTTTTTGTTTCAAATAAAGCCCCTTTTGTTTGTCCCTGCGCCTGCCCTTGCCTCCTTCAATGCCTCGATGTGACAAAATGATTAATGTTACACTTTCGTTTGGCGTCAGATTTTTCAAAACTGTAGCCCCCTCACTGATGGACAGCTTTTAGCACTCTTGGGGGCTCAAGAGCAGTGACATTATTGCTCTGGAAGCCACAGATTTGAACTGCTAATCCACAGAGCCACACAACATCCATACTGGAAAGCAGGGGTAGGGGTTGCTGGTGAGAATATGCCATAATAATAAACAGGGCATTACACGTTTCTGCCTTCCTTGGAAAGCTTACAGAAGGGTACGAGAGAGGAGACATCACTCAATGGTCAAACCTAGAGTTCAGGGAGAGCATTGTGGATTATGACCTTCCTGAGGAACTGTGGACCAGCTGTTCTCCCTCACACAGCTGTCTGTGGGGATGCAGCTACAGCGTATATGTGCTTTATGGACTTTATGGAGACATATAACTGTGTATCCTGGCACAAACTGTGGGAGGTGCTGCATAAATATGTGGTACCAGGGACACTACTGTGTGCAATTCAGTCACTGTATGAACATAGTATGAGCTGTGTTTGCATACTTGGTACAAAATCTAAATAGTTCAGTGTGGGCGTTGGCCTTCAACAAAGGTGTGCCTTATCTGCATTGCTGTTTGTGGTTATACTGGACGTGTATGGAACCATCCACTGGCCCAACTGCAGAATGGGCAGTCAAAGGTAAAGAATGTGTGTAGGTCCTTCCATGCACATCTAAAAAAGTTACTTAAACTTTAAATTAAGTTTAGGGGTTATTTCAGAGTTATGATATCCATTTAGTTAGGGAGATTCTGGTTTCTTCTAGACTTCTTTTATTTTTAAATAAGCTGTTCCAAGGTTCATGACTGTGATAATACACCATATTCACTTTGTGCCAATTAAACGATATCCATGGACATGATGCAAAATAGATTTGATCTCAGTTCAGTGACTACATGACCGCTACAGACTGGCATGATATCATCATATTTGGTCAATCCAAGTCAAATAAAGTTTGATTTTCATCTCCGCCACACACATTTCACAGTGATGCAAAAAAACTTTCTTCCTGAACCCATAGTGCAAAATTCATGACAGTACAAACATTATTGTGCAAAGGGTGGAGTTTTTGGTATACTTCACATATTGCAGAAAATTCCTACACAATCATCAATAAGTTAAGGGGAAGGGAGAAATAGGGAATACTACCATACTACCTAAGATCACATCATTTATACAGAATAATTCAAAAACAGACAAAAGGAAGACAAAGATATTAAAGAAAGAAAGTCAAATTACAACAGAGGAGAGGAACCAAAAACCTCCAAGCAACATGGGTGTTTAGAACATGCACATACACATTAATGGACAAGCACGGTAGTGAAAATTGGCACGTGTACAGCAGAACGAGCAGCCATATAGTTATAGTGTGGTATGTGTTAAGTTGCGAGTCAGCTAAACATAAATAATAGGTTTTCAGGTGGGATTTAAAGATTGAGACTGATCCAGCATCCCACACATGAGCTGGTAAACCATTCCACAATATAGGGGTCCCGTAACAGAAGGCCTTACTGCCAGTTGTTAAGGTATACCCACACTAGCGTTCCATACCATGTCTGCGCACATTTGACTCAGCTTGTTTGAATAGTGTGATCACTGCATGCCATGCCCAGGTGGGGTAAACTTAACCGTGCCCTGGCCTGCTTGGAGAGCTGGGCCAGGGCACGAGTAGTTGGACTTCGGTACAATATGGATGTAGGTTGTGTCCGAATTCAGGGCTGGATCCTTCGAAGGTCGCATTCGAACACCGAATGCATCGTAGCTGTGCATCAAGGCTGTCCCATTTCAAAGGCTCCTTGAAATACAGTCTAGTCTATAAATGCCCCCAATGGATCCTTCACAGCCCAACATATCCCAAGATTCATTGTGCAGAAGTAAAGTGGGTGTGTCTCTGGGTGTTTCTCAATACCAACACGGTGGCCGCAGGGCATAAAAAAGTATTACAAGGTAGTAAATCAAACTAGCAAAAATTAAGGCCATTAAAAGGTATTAAAATTAATTAAATGCAATTTTATGCGGTATTAAATTTTAGATTTTTTTCAAACTATTAGTTGTCCATTCGTGTTTAAAAGTTTATCTGCTAAAGTTTGGATAAGTTTATTTAAATGTGGGATAAGGCTCATGCATTCTAGTTAGTCGATATCTATGATGCTGACGTAGGGTGACCAGATAATCCATGTCAGGGAGGACACTTTGAGCTACTTCGGGTTTTACAAACTAATTTCGAACTGAAAGGCTCCTATGCTCGGCTAAATAGTTCAGCTCTTCTTCTAGTGACACGTGCACGATTATAGGAGACTGACCAATTAGCACACAGTAAGAACTCAGTGCTCAAGTGAAATCCAGGTCCTTTTAATTGAAATGGTAATTTACAAATCCTGTCCTAGCTCAGAGTGTTCTCCCTGACATGGATTATCTGGTCACCCTATGCTGACGTCATATTCAACGGTCGTTCGATGTCTCAACCATTTTGCGTGCATAACTGGATATTGGCTGGTTTGTAGAACTCCTCAACCACTCAGACCTCCAAACATATTGTTGACATGGGTAAATGCAAATTCTCATGCAACTGGCTAGAGGACCCAGTGTTTTTAAGACTGGCTCAGGTATGTAGTAGGGAATAACTGGCAGGCTTACTGTTCGGTTTGTAAAACAAAAAATATATCACCTGGATGTGGGTTAACGCTCTCCAGTCACATACACAATGCATTAGCCATAAATCTGGAATGCTCTAAATCTATTCTGTTGACCCATTTTCCTTATTTAAATTCTGTTGTATTGGTCAAGAGTGTGTAGTGTTATAAATCTCAACATCGGTGTAAAACTTAGAAAGGTTGCCAATTAAAACAGTTGCAACTCAATGTCATGTTGGTTTTAAAAAATATTGAGAAAGTATTTAAATAGTATTAAAAGGTATTAAATGTATCTTCGGGATTTCTGTATACACCCTGACCAAGAATGCGCAGATTGTACTTGTGGTCTTGGCAAGACCACTCTTTAACTTGCCTCCCAAGAATGAACTTGAGGTGTAATGAATCATGGGATTGGTCTTCTTTGGTAAGGATGCAACTTATGTATCCTTGATATTTGGGCTACCAGAAGCGCAAAACAAAAGTCAATAGCAGAATCAGCTGTTTGGCATTGGCAGAGAAGAGTTTCATGGGCACAAGAAGTTTTTCATGGGCACAACCCACATACTCAACTCTGCTGCTCAGCCCACAAATGCATTTTCCTTACAAATGTGACACCATTTAAAATGGAAAGTAACAGGCTTTCCAACGGTATAAGGTTTATTCCCAAGAAGCATTGTCACAACAAAGAAATGACCGACCAAACACAAATGTCCTTACTTTTTGTGCTAAGTTTATTAACTGAACCTGGAAGGAACCGGTCAGATCAGGCTGTGCAGATTCCGTCATTTTCATTTTAAGGATTTTGAGGGGGCCCTGTGCTAATGAATGAAAATAAAAACAGGCAAGCATGCAAAACATATTTCGTCCATGACCAAACTCATCACGATTACTCTCCACTGTAAAAAAAATTAAAAATAGCACAGATTATATAAGCCCCCAAAAAGGTTACAACAGTTTCTTCTGTTTTCTTCCATTTAACTGCTCAATAAACGAAAAAACTTCCCATGCAGTGCATTAGGCTGGATTATCTAACTGTTTAAAACACAGCATAGCATAATAACCTGTAGCTACAAATGCTAGTTTGATGATGGTAACGTAGAATGTTTATTATATAACAAGATCTTGCTAGTCATATCATAAGATCCCAAACATAAATCACTGACTTGAAGCTAGGGAGATCATATTTAAAGCTGACATCTTAGTATTCTATATTGCATGATGCGTGCAATTCTTATATAGGGTATAACTGAGTGTTGGCAATGGTTCAGACACACTGAGTCCATGGTTCTGATTCAATGGATAGCGCTATATAGCGTAAGCGATGTCCGTAATAGTGGAATTAGTATCGGTACTAAAGAAATGTAATACCGAACAGATTTTAAAAATGTAATACCACAATATCTTTTCAGTACTGCTATCCTGTGCAACACTAGTCTACACAAATTTTAAGATATTTGGTAAAATGTTAGACTATCTTTTTATTGGTGTAGGATAAATAAATAAAAATGTATGCATTGTATACTTAATAAATCTGTGTGTGTCATCGTGCCCGAAACTACTACACCAGAGGTGTGGTATAAAGTGGTTCACTACTACATCCTCCTAAAATGTAATTATTTTGTTTTGCTGGGGTATTCTTTGGACGATAAACATGTACCGTTTTGACTAATTGAGCTAATAAAATAATTTGCACATAAATTCCATTTACAGGATGTCTCCAGGTTATGAACAAGATCCATTCTCCAAGTCTGTCTTTAAGTCGAATTTACACGCCCCTGTTAGAATGTGTTCCATGGTAAATCTAATGCCGTGGAAAAAAATGTGTACCTCCTGACTGATACTAGACATGGCATGATACCACTTTTTTATGTCCAATACCGATATTGTAAATTTGGATATCTGTCGATACGATACAAATCCAATACAGTCTCTGAGTCTTTTTTTTAATCAGAAAACAAAAAATAATGCTTTAAAAAATGTCCAGATACATTCTGTATACCTTAACACAAATACAAAAATCATACCTGTGATATAATAAGGAAGGAAAACAGAGAACGTAGTTTAGTAACACTGCTTCTTTTTAGTTAAATGTCCTCAGTTTTAGCAGCATTTGACGGATCAGCACCATCCAAAAAATCTTGAAGACAAGTGCAACTGTATACAAAAAATAAAACATAAGATGACATAAAAGCTTAGTATCTAAAGAAACATTAATAGTGAAATTCAAAGTGCAATTTTATGCAAGTTCAAAAACCCCTTTGATTTGGAAAAACACAGGAACTGCAGTTTAAAATAATGCAACATAAAATTAATACTTAAAAAAAATCTAGAATTGACCCTTACTTAATGTAAATATAATATACACTTACAGTGGAATGTCATTTTCTTAACAACTCTTTTCTTGCTTCACTTTAACATAAGGGGTAGGTTTTTCTTTAGAGAGATCAGCATTTCAGCCTTCTCAGCTGTCAGCCTGCTTCTCCTTTCATCAATAATGATGGAGGCTGTACTGAAGAGCCTCTCGCTCTCACTTGTTGAAGGTGCACAAAGAAATTTAGCTGCTGTACAAACCAGAGTGGGTAATCTAGGCTGGTTGACTTGCCAGCACAGCAGTGGATTGTGTGAGTGCTGAATACTGTAGTTGGCTCACTGAGGTAGGTTTGCACTTCAATACATGCACTTGTGGTGGTTAACTGAGGAGCCGGCTCTGCAGAGCTTTCCTGCAGGATTTCATCAAATATACTTTCAAGTCTGCTGTGGCTTGCAGTTCCCTTCTGTGGAGTCTTGCTTGCTGGTTCCACAGCAGCTGATTCACAAGATGTCCCATCTGCTGGCTCAGATTCTACATCTTTGAAGCGTCTGTTAACAGCCTTGAGAAGGGTGCTCTTCATCGTCCTTATTCCCTCGTCACTTTTGTTTCATTGAGACAGAACGCGCTTAAGGACACAAGCGATGGGGATAACTTCAGATGCAGATGACCATGAGGAGCTTACCACCCTTGTGAACTCCTCAAAAGGGGCCAGAGCTGATCTTTTCAAGTAACCCCCACTGAGGTGCACACAGTGTGGCTGGCAGTTTATGCTCTGCAGAATATGTACACAAGGCTCATTTTTGAGCTATAAGGCTCTTGATCATATAATGTGTGCTATTCCACCATGTTCACACATCTTGTATGAGATGCTTCGTTGCAATATTGAGCTCCATTTGAATGTCCTCCAAACTTGAATATGCAAGTGGAAAGTGCCTGAAGTGCCCATTATTTTTCTTCCAGCAACCACTGCATCACTAACACTACGTTGCGATAACAGTCCCGCATTCACCACGAGTTGCAAGGTGTGTGCGAAGCATCCTAAACTTTCGGCTCAAAGCCTTATGTTTTCACATTTCAACATTAACAGACAATTTTTCATGCTAATGGTTTAATGAAATCTTAATTTTGTTCTTTTGAATGTTGTTTACTTGCGTACCCTTGCAACCCGACTGCCTATGATTTTGAGCCGAATGATTTCACACCCAATAGGGCAGAGAATGAACTAATTCTAATGTAATATCAGCAAACTTGAATGAACCTCATAGGATACAGAAGAAGATTACTTCGCTTAGATCAAAAGTGATGAATTACTTATAGATCGAAAGCATAAGCTAATAAATATGACAAGACGAGCCCGTCTGTCAAAATATAAATTTAGCAGCAAAGTAATAGCACCATATAAAACAGAGCTTCTTGGACAATGAAACAATGTTACTCATGGTAAGATATGCTATTTATAAAACTACAAGTAACATAATATGGTATAATGAGACACAATGCAGCACAAATTGAGCCCGGGCTCAATTTGACTGCTAAATTGACTATTTAGCCAAGCACAGGAGCCTTTTAGTTTTAAATGTTTGTAAAACCTTGAGTAGCGCAAAGTGTTCTGCAAATTTCGTTGTGCAAGAAAATGTGACAATAAAATAATTCTATTCTATTCGGGATAAAGTTATTTTAACTTTTATGAGTATGCTTCCTTTTTGGGACATACGACAATGGGCCGTAATATATTCCAGCGCATCGCAAAACCTTCCATCGTGAAAATAGATTAGCAGCACCTACCGTCGCATAATTTCCGCTAAAATGCGTCGATTGAAAATAACGAAATTTCCGGTGGCACACTGCAGTCAAGCTTGATTAAGCACCGCCTACATTGTGACCATTTTCCTACTCTGGCCAATAATAATAGACATACGGTAGCATGTACCCAATGAATCGTTCAATTCCAGCATTTAGTCATTCGCTTCCGTGTTAAAATACTAGAATCATCTCATCCAAGATTTTGTGAAGTCATTGTGGATTGTTTTCAAAATTTTGCAAGTATAATTTTCATTTCTTCTTCCTTCAAGGGCATAGAAAATCCACATTTTTTGCAAAATGGTAAGTAGCTAGATTTATTATAACTGCAGAGTCATGAATAAACTACAGATGTTAGGGAGCCACTTTTTCGACCGTGCAAAATAACGCATTCTGCTTCCAGAAACGTTTCTGCAGTATTATGTGGAACCGCTTAATTACTGGCTAAACTGTATATGTTTTGTTGAAAATATTTGTCTTAGTAGCAGTCGATTAATACCTGTACATATATACGGAGTTGGAGTAGTCTTAAATCAAGCTAGATAGCTAACTCACAATATTTTTGTGAACTATGTGAATCCAACCCGTAAGGTGATGGCTAAGGATATATCGGTGATGTTTACTGATATTCTAATACCAGCGATAAAATGAACTTTCTAATTACTGAATATTACATTCGAGTTATAACAAAGAGTAACTTAAACCTATTTCTAGCTGGGTGAGGTTCAATTAAAGTACTGGCGCATTCAAGAAAACCGAAACTAAAACCTCCGATTACTTTTTTGTGATGGCAGTGACTGGTTGTTTGAATAAATGTAGTTCTGCTTATGTTTTATTTGATGTATGTGTATAGTGGCTAGCTTTTATCTAAATAATAATTTATCTAAATCTTTATTTAGGGTAACTTTTTTTATTTCTCTTACTTTTATGCTTTTTTTCCTGCAGTCTATTATGTCATATAATGGGGGTGCTGTCATGGCGATGCGGGGCAAAGATTGTGTGGCCATTGCCGCTGACCGGCGCTTTGGGGTTCAGGCTCAGATGGTCACCACAGACTTTCAGAAGATGTTTTCTATGGGTGATAGGCTATACATTGGCCTAGCAGGATTGGCCACTGATGTGCAAACTGTGTAAGTTTTCTCACTTTTTTTGATGCTGGGTTGGTTTTCATTAAATGTGGTATTAAATCCACGATAAATTAATTTAATTTTTCTAATTAAAAAGCATAGTCTGTTTACATCCAGATGTAACCAATTCTAAATCTTTCACCCTCTCTAGGTCCCAGCGCCTTAAGTTTCGCCTAAACTTGTATGAGCTGAAGGAAGGTCGTCACATCAAGCCCAAAACCTTCATGAGCATGGTGTCCAATTTACTCTATGAAAGGAGGTCTGTCTCACTACTTTCGTAACAACTCTGTAAACTTTGCGTCGGTCAGAACCAAAAAGCAGTTATGTTTATTCATATATTCAGATTTGGAGTGCTTTCTTTATTCCCAAGGGGAAATTTGTGTTGCAGTAGTAATTCACGTAAATGACAGAAACACACAGACACAATGTAGGCTAAAATGTAAACATAACACAGAATTACAAATTACATAAGTATATGTACAAATATGCAAAAACCACTGTACTAGATTAAGAACTTTGCAACTGAGTTATACATTTAGTGTGCAAAATAAGTGTGTGATTTAAAAACCAAAAAAAAGTATTTTATATAACAGATTTTTGTTTCCAAACGGTCAATCACATGGATGCAGCTGAATACATGCTGTATGCAAATAGGGTCACAAGGTTCGCCTACTGTGTGGCTAAGCATTAGAGTGGCTATGGTGACCGTTCTAATTTCCATCCATCTTCCTTAACCTCCTGAGTCCCGGGCTTTTGTTTGGTGTGCATGTTTTATTTCCTTTAGCTATTTGGGATTAGTAGGACCTCATAATCATAAAAACCAAACATTATTTTTTTTGAACAATTAATAGTTTTAAACAAAAATGATGTCCTTATATGAGGACGTAGGGTCTTGGGAGGTTAACTGAACATCTAATACAGGGTCATGTGGTTCAGACAAAATCACTAAGACGAATCTAATGTAGCCTATTAAAATGAAGAAGACAGGTAAATGATAGGATGTCTGGTCAGTAAAGGGGGATTGAGCCGCCATCATTGTCTTGTTTTTTTATGTGGGTCATTTAGATTAGTAAGGATCCAAGCAGGCAGTAGAATTTTGACAATGTGTATTTTAAAGTAACTTCTTCATTAAACGGCTTCATAAAAAACATTGTGGTCCACGGTGTCTATACAGATGTAAAGCTTACTCCATTCCTGACTCAGCTGTAGTGATCTGGGTTAGCTCAGTTAGCTCTACTTTTTTTAGCCCTTTATATTAGTGGTGTATTTTAATATCTGAAATTGCATTTTCCACAAAACAACTATTTGATATACTTTGGACAACATCTGTAGTAGAATACTTCTGCTTGTAGTACCTCACTGTGATTCTATATTAATGTACCCACTGGTGGTTAGTTTTGGTTGAGAACCTTATACCAAAACAAAAAAAAAAGAGAGAAAAGATTTTCTTCAGGAACGTGAAATCCAGTCTTGCTTATCCCAAAGTCGTAATGTTAATCCCTGTTATGAGTCCATAACAGTTCAGTTTTAACCTGAGCCTTGTTCCCCCCCAACTCAGATTTGGCCCATACTATGTAGAGCCCGTAATTGCTGGTTTGGATCCCAAGACCTTTGAGCCATTCATCTGTTCCCTGGACCTGATTGGCTGTCCCATGGTAACAGAAGATTTTGTAGTTAGCGGGACCTGCTCAGAGCAGATGTACGGCATGTGCGAATCTCTGTGGGAGCCAGACATGGTGAGGATTTCATTTTTTTTTTTTTTTAAACAAAAAAAATTGTCACGTATGCTTTTTGCCTGTGCTATGGCCTAAAAGTTACCTATTATTCAATTTTCAACTAGTTTTTTTCTGTTTTTGATTCCCACATTCCTTTGCCACTGACTTTATTAATAAAAAAGTCACTTTTAGTCTTTATTTGACTGCAAAATCTACTTTTCTTAGTGCTTTGGAGAAGCTGGGTTGGTGCCACATAAAATGTGAACTGAATCTGTACATTGTTTTGAATTCTTGCAGGGGGCGGAAGACTTGTTTGAGACCATTTCACAAGCCATGCTGAATGCTGTAGACAGGGATGCAGTTTCTGGTATGGGGGTTGTTGTGCATGTCATGTAAGTACAGTTTCATTTTTCACATCTTTCGGAGAAATAAAAAGCTCCTCCAGTTCCTTTGTTCCTGCATTTGTATCTTTCATATCCTCCTGAGATCCAGGAGGAAAATAATCAATATAATTATTCAGAATTTTGACTTGACAGAAGAAGAAGCTGGCATGGTCACATCCCCGCAAAAGAACAACAGGATTTAATACAGTGTCATATACAATATGAGGGATGTGCAAAAAAAAATTGTCCTCTGTAGAGGACTTTGTTAATTGCTGGATCTCAGGAGAATGTGTAATTTTCAAGTGTGTATTCTGAGTTACTGTTTACTAGAACTTGATTCTTTTTTTTTATTTACAGCGAGAAAGACAAAATCACAACTAGGACTCTGAAGGCCAGAATGGATTAGCGCATATGTTGTTCTATTCATTTGTTCTCCCAAGTTTTTTTTTTTTTTTATTTTTTTTTAAATATATATAAAAAACTGTTTTCTGGTGTTCTTACATGCTATGGAATAAGGTAAAATAAACGCTTGTAAATTTGTTCATGCGTTTGTTTGTTTTTCATATGTGAGAAATTAACTATAATGCACATAATTAAAATTGTTTCAATCGTGATGTGGTGACATTTGAGGACCTTTTTTTTCCATTCATGATTTGAATTGGTGCTCAAGACATTTACTTCAAACCCAAGGTTCAGTCTTCTACCATCTCTCAGTGAAAACTGTTTGTTGAATGACAGTAGCCTAAGGCTAATATTCCCATTGGCATATAATGCTTCTTGAGGTAAACAAAGCATAATACAGAGGGGATATAATTGTGTACTTTTTGCAGGACCAACTTGTAAGCTAACCGGTTGCATAATAAATTCTTTTGCAGATCCACTGGATTACTTACTGGAAACTCAGCCGCACCCAATGATGGAACCAATATTTTAAATTTGAAAATGGATACAGCTTCTATTGATGATTAGTGGTTTTGTGGTATATCCAAAAACTAGCATGTAGTACTGAGATGAAAATTAGTTTGTCACTATTTTGCATTACTCAGGGGTGTCCCTATTACGCAGGCTTACCCAGCCCCCCCGATACCATCCACAACTATGTCAGGTCAGGTTGCAGCGCATGCGCATGCACCGCTAGAGGTGCAGCTACGCCTTTGTAGAAAATAGTAAGGGGCCTTGTGACAACTCAAAACTGCATGTCCAGTTGGCCTGCACGTTAATGTCAACATTGCATACCGTGCACAAGGCTTGCAAAAGCTTCAATAGGCAGCTTGGTTGAGATTAGTCTCAGATTAGAGGCGGTATTAAATTTCTCACATTGTCACTACATTCAAACACTATACTGTGGTATACGGTATTGTTGAAAAGAGAAACGTTATTTAGGCATTGAAATCTTGGCAAAAAAAATTGGAGTAGGGAGTGTCCCCTACAATACGATTCATCAGATGGAGATCATGAGTAAGTTTTACTAAATCAGTAAGTTTTTACTTTTCAGTTTTATTTCAATGAAGACAGTATGAACCCAAGACATTTCATAGTTTGTCTGGTCAACTTTGTTGAATTCAGTGAAATAAAAGTCAAAACAAATTTACTAACCACTGCGTTATTATTTCCATTTTCCATACCATCCCAACTTTTTCTGATTTAGGGGTGTACTTTATTGTTGAATACAGATTCGAATATATAACTATACTCCCTGGGAGCCAAAAAGATTGGGGCAAGCAGCTAAGGTTCTTATGGGCCTAGAATGTTGAGCTTATGGTTAGTAATTCGATCTT